GTCCTGAATAGGCCAATATGAACAAACACTCATCAAGCTTTCCAATGCGGAAACGCAGATCTTGTCGCTACAACAACAACTTGACGATGCACTAGGAGCAGAAGATCTGCTCGTGCAGCTTACAGAACGGAATTTATCGCTTTCGGAGGTGTGTGTGGTCTCCGCCCTTCCCTCCTGGAGCGTCCTTTTTGTTTTAAATGTACTGCACGATGTTCTATGTCATTTACATTTGTTCATCCTCCCTAGAAAATCGAAGAACAACGCATCACAATCGAAGACCTTGAGGCCCTCAAGGAACTCACAGACGAACTCGAAGAGAACCATGTTCAAGTTGAGCGTGAGCTCCGAGACGAGATTTTAGAACGCGAGAAGGACCTGAGAGAGGAGAAGGTCAGAGTTGGGTTACTTGAAGATATAGTGTCAGACGCGGACGGGACGATCGCGAGGTTTAGGGAAGTCGTTGCAGATATGCAAGGGTGGGTTTCCTATTAGTTTCTCTTACTTCTTCAGTCGTTTGCCTTCGCGGGAGTCATGCTGATCCACTCACCAGCGAACTCGATTCCATGCGTTCAGCGACGCAAACAGCGCAGCACGAGTCTGCTACGGCTGCGCACCAGACGGCAACGATGATGTCACTGAATTTGAAACTCCAGTCCTCAGCTGCTAAGAACCAGGCAAGGGCAGTAGATCTGGAGATCAAGAAGCTCGAGGCGAGGGAGAGGGGAGAATTGTTAGGAATTGTGCAGGTGGGCTTCATTTTCTGTTTTTTTTGGGACATTACCCTCTATTCATTATCTTTGCTTTCTTCTCTTTCCGACTTTCCTGTTTATTTTCACCCCCTCCCCCGTTTCTTTCATTGGTTGCAACAGAAACTGTCTGCAAGGCAACGCAAGTATGAATTCGTGATTATGAAGTATTCTTGCCGTGCCGTGCCTTCAAATTATGACTTCATTTGTCTGTCTCCTTTCGATCTCTGTATTTGCTTCTTTCATCTCGTCCTGTCCGTTATTTCCCCTTTACTCCCTTGGTTCCCTTGTGTTTTTCACTTGTTCTGATCCCTCATCGACTCGTCGGCTAACTTCCCACTTCCCAGCCTTATCTACCTCAACAATACGTCGAGTCCGACAGCGACGCAACAAGTTGCTATCTCTTCTTCGCACGCCTGGGGTACAAAACCGACCTCATCAACACCATCGTGGGACTGGCCCATGGTCTACCCGACTCACTCAATGGTGTCGTCTCGGAAACGCTTGTTGGAATATGTGAAGTACGTTGCGTTTTCTAGCTTTCAACAGCGGCGCTTGTAACATTTATTCACTGATAACAGATGCGCGGCCGTGCTGCGTCCTTTTCCACGCTGTGCAAGCGTTTCGCTAGTATCCTCAGGCGGTGCGACCCTATATCGTTCCTCAATATCGGGCGCATATACCCTGAGATCGCCCCGATGGAGAAACGCATTGATCTACATATTGATCTTCTTCGACGGGATGAATTTAGGGAGATGGAATTCGTTAGTGACGTACTCAAGTGCGTTTAGTCTTCATTTCGATATCTCGTTACTCTCATTTCCCTGCCTTTTCATTTCGACGAATGGGACAATGCTTACTTTTGACATAGGATGCTAGCCCAATTCGATCATCTGGCAGAGACTTATTTCGATGGGTTCGAACAGGATCTGGGCGAGCGCGAACTCGGATATGCACTGTCGTTTGATCATGATCTCGATGTATTTGCGGCATCTATCGGGCTCACGAAGACGTCTGTTGCTGTCATTCTCAATGACGAGGGTACGTGACACTGCCTTTCTGTCACAATGTCGCTGACACAAACTACTTCATAGATGTTGTCCTCGACATGGGTGGTTATGATCCCGAGAAAGAGCTCATCGAGCCCTTGCAGAAGCTTTTGGAGCAGTGCAAGAGCGCCAAGGTGCTGTCCAAGTAAGGTGGTTTGTTGTGTTGTAGATATATGCTGAGCGGATGGCAGGAAACTTACGAAGCGCCTCGACGACGTTATCCAGGAGTCTTCGGCACTTAAGTCACATCTCGTTTCGCAGCTCAAGACTCTCAGCAACGCAGTTCCCGAGCTAGTCAACTTTGGTATCTCTGTTAGTGTTTTCGTGCCCCCTTGTGAGGATGATTGCTTATTTGCACAATTGTAGCTTGCCCAACAAGTAATTCCCCATCTTAGCGATGCCCGTAGCGCCAAAGCTCCGTTCCAGCTTGCAACGGTGTTGTCGTATGCCAAGCAAACTGCAATGACAACTGTCGCCAAGGACATGAAACCTGGGACCTCATGCTTCGAGGCAGTTGGTGAAGCTATTGCTCAGCTATCGGCGGAGTGCAACAAGTTACTCCCTTTGGCGATGGAACCAGAGAGCGTATTCAAGAGTAGGCCTATTTCAGCTCTAATATTCGCCGATATCACGCTAACGATGACCAAGTTTCCGGCACGCCACCATGGGTCCTAAGAATTGAGGAGATCAGAGCCAGCATGGCCATTAATGCTGAAGCCGAGCGCAAAGCTGCACAGCTGCAGGAAGAAATACAAGGACTTGTGCGGAGTCTCAAGACGAAGGACCAAACGATACAAGAGTCAGTAGTGAAGATAGAGCACATGGAGCGACGCATGGAAGCAGCCAAGAAGCAAGCGGATACCATTGGAGATCTTGAGATTGAGCTCTCGAAGGCGCGCAAGCAGGAGCGTGCGTACGAGGAGGCAATGGAACAACTGCAGGCAGACTTGGATACGTTCGAGCAAGACAACGCGAAACTAAAGGCGTTGGTTGCGGGTTCGGAGCGACAAGGTGTGTTTGTTTATATTGGGGTCAATTGAACGGTCCAATGACTTACCGCGTTCAGCTGCTGGCACGCAACCTGTCGATTCAGAGAATGTCCCCATGGAGGGTAATGTGGAGACATCACACCTTCTGGAGCAGGTCCGTGCATGCCCAGAGCCATCTTACTATTGTTGTTCTTACTCTCACACAGATCGAGGCTCTTCGTGGCACCGTCCGTTTTTTGCGCACAGAAAACTCGTATCTCAAGGGGCAAGACCTGCTCAAGGAAATCCAAGCACTACCACACCTTCCAGAACCTACCAGCCGCGTTCGTACGCCTCCACTGGACCCATCAGGTCAATCCGACACAGACGAATCCGAAACCGAACTGCCACCCGCTCCTCCTACCATTCGCTCGCTCGCTACAGAAACCAAGGTTCTCTACCGGGACGTCATCAAATTCTCTTCATCGCCTCGTGTTGTCGATCTATCCGCTCTTCATGCAAGGAGAGCGGAAAGCGATTGCAAAGGTGGGAAGATGTGGATGCGGAAGAAGGCTAGTCCTGCTCAGCAAGTCCTTGATCGGAAGATAGAGGCCGAAAGACTTAGCAGGCGCGTAAGAGGCCTGTTGGATCGTGCTCATGCGCTATGAGGGGTTTCATTAATACCTTGCTTCATTTTTTATGTTACTCTACAGCTGGATATTGGGTTGTATACCCTGCATGACTTTGCTATGCATTATGGGGAGGGGATAAGGTAATAAACATCATGTACATGAACGATCAATATAAGCATACGGTCTGATACCTTTTACCCTTGATCGCGCTACACGATGTTCAGTTATGATCATTGAATATTGAATGCTCGCCGCGCCAAGCTTCAAACAGATTTGAATTTGTTTGTATCGGTTTATAGGTTCTAAGCGCCGCTGCTACTCTTTTACCCCCGCATGCCCCCTTTTTTTCCTGTATCCCCCAGCTAGCTCTCAGATCTCACTTTTTGCATATTAGGGAGTCTCCTTCTTTTCATGTGCAACAAGTGAAAATTCAGAGATAGAGTGGGCTTAATCAAGTAGTGTTTAAGGGTGAGAGCTAAGATAGTGCGAGCCTCAGTCTATGGTAAAGAGACTATATTCCTAATGTACGAACCTAAGATAGCGCGAGCCTACGGGTAAGCTAATAAGTATGTTATTGACAGGAAGAACAAGAGTGTACACACCTCAGTCTATGGTAAAGAGACTGAGGTGCAATGAAGGCTTCTGGCTGCCTTAAGTAAAGAGAGAGAAAATAAATGTAACTAGGTGAGTGACGTGCAATGATGGGGGGGAATATATACAGTGACAGATGTGATATTGGAATGACACTGGGTTGGGTGCTCTGACGGATCACCTCTCAACAAGTAGTAGCTCGTGCTTTTCCACTCAGGTGGCTTAATTGGCAAGTAAGTTGGATGAGAAACTGGATATCATGCTGGGTGAAAGCATGAGGCCTGCTCCTGCCAATTGCCTGAATTTTGGCTATGCTGCCAGTGGCATGTTTATGACATTGACTTTGAGATCTGTGTGACAGGATTTCTTTGGTTGTATAGCCTTTGTTCACCATACAGCTTCTTTGAAGTCGTCTTCTAAGGCCACAACAGTACTAGAGGTATGTGGCTGTAGTATGCTGTATGATAGACAGTGACCTTTTTGCAAAGAATGTCATCATTATTGAACACTGCAATAATACAGCTGATCACTACAGCAATCATCTAGCTAGGGATCACATAATGGCCCACATCTGGGCCCAGTTCACCTCTGAGCGCTACTGTATGATGTGGTTCTGTCTTGCTGTGCAGTAGTGTGGCTGCATAGTGGCCCTGTGTCCTCTTGCAAGCACTGGCACCTACTCCAAGTCGTCCTTCAAACTGCATTCCACAACCATCCAGTCTGTCCATCCCATCTTCATTGCTCCTTGCACTCCATCAATCATCAACTGGATTGTTCCAGAACCAAGTCCTGTCACAGCTGACAAGTTTCTATTCAAATAGTCATATGCATCTCTCCAGATAACTACCACCCAGATTATTTCTAACCACACCCTCAAATCCAGTTGGTACTTTTAGTTGATTCATTGCATCTCATATATCACAGCCTTCATCAATGAGTGACAATCAATGTCAATACTTCCACCTCTTATTTCTCGCATGATCTCTGACCTCTTTGACAGTCCTTCAAGGAACTTGGGTGAAACTGTCTGAGGTTGCTGTCAAGGGTGCCCAATATAACTCCTATGAACATCAGCCCCACCCAAAATGTCTGCAAGGGACCTGTGTTACAGTCACACTTGCCCCTATTCATTTTCCTCATTGCTCACGTTGTTCACTTACTTGTATTACATCATGATCGCCATTGCCATTGCTAGATGACTCATCTTCCTTATCTTTTACTTGCTTGTATTACACTACAATCACTATCGCCATTGTTAGGTGACTTATCTCTGACTCAGTCTTATCTGTGACTCATCGTGCTTGCCCTAAAGCACTTATTTACCATATATACCTGGTCATGTACTCAGTAGATCTTCACTTTAATCTACTAGGTTTTCACCAGAAACATCCTTTGCTTAGGACCTCCAATCCTAAGTCGTCTGGACCGATATTCAAGCCAGAGACACTCTCTTTGACTTGTCTTATGAACCTTACATTTGTAAAGGTCTTGATTCAACTTCAGTCGCTACTCTTATTGAGTAACTGTTGTTGCGACTATCCTAGTTCGTAACAACCTGGGTGGATCTCCTCAAATACATCCACAGATTCCTGGATGATACAGAGAAGAATCAGCTCGTTTGGCTGCATGGCATGGCAGGCATCGGAAAGTCTGCTATTGTGTTCACTGTAGCTGAGAGGATGAGAGGTCTAAAAGTGACAGAAGAGATGAATGTCAAAAAGTGGCTGGCAGGGATGTTCTTTTTCTCTCGCAAGCACATGAAACGTTGCACAGCTGGATATTTTTTTGCAATGCTTGTCTACCAACTTGCCAACAATTTTCCCAGCATCTGGAAGGATGTGAACAGAGCTATCCATGATAATCCCGCTCTACTAGACCCAGACATGCCTCTCTGTGACCAGATGGAGGCTCTCTTTCTCCAACCCCTCCAGAAACTCCAACTCAGATTGCGTGGATGTCTGCCTTTGTCATTTGTTGTCGATGTGCTTGATGAATGCACATCCGAACTTGAGCTTACCAATCTCATCCTTTCCCTTGCACAGGCCCTTCATGAGCCTGATTTGCCTGTGATCCACATTCTGCTCATGAGTCGCTCAGAAACTCATATCTCTAAAGTCTTTCAGAGCGAAGAGGTGTGCCTGTTGGTGTGCGAGATACCTGTGAGAACTTCTGGGGAGGGTGGTATCATCTTGTTAGACGGCGCAGATGTTGACAACGATATCCATACTTTCTTGTGGCATTCCTTCAAAGAGCTGGAAGGTCACCATCCTGATTTCCCACAGCCATCAGAGGCTGACCTTACCAAGCTGGTGAGCCAAGCGGGCAGACATTTCATCATGGCATTTATGATGATGAAGACAGGGATCCCCACAATCAGTTGCAACTGATGCTCAAGCTCACAAGCTCATTGCTGCCAGGAACAGACATGTACAAGTTATATGACCATATCCTCTCTATGTGTGCCGATCCCAAGTGGGCTTACATGCACTTGTCTATTGTCGCTACCCTCACAGATCCTCTTCCCATCTCGCAAATCTCATTACTTCTTGGCCCTAATTTTGGCAAGGATGTGCAGAAAACACTGATACAGCTACAGTCTGTCATGGATATCCCTACAGACAGCACTCCCCCCATGAATATCTATCACTCGTCCATTCATGATTATGTTTCCGACCCCTCAAACTGCAGTCTTCCTCAAGTGCGCAATATCATATCACCTCACTCCCTACTCACATGTTCCTCTCTCTGCTTGATGATGGCAATTTCAAAAAGCATGGCTCTCTTGGATGCACTCTCAGAACTGAAGAAGCAAAACAATGCAATGCAACCTGAGGACCCACGTAGGTTAAAGGACTCATTAGCATTCCTTGTTCGGCCACCAGAACCATTGTCAGCTGTCATCTGTATGCTGTGGCTTCGAGGAAATTGCACTTCAGATTTACAATCTTGATTAGTGACTGTGGATGGGGATGCCTGGCTGCACACCCAGGGAGGATGAGAGTGGCTGTGGACCCTGAGCAGATCAAAGTGGCTGCAGACTTTGGGAGGACAAGATTGGCTACAGACCTGGGGAGGATGAGAGTGGCTGCAGACCCAGGGAGGATGATTCTGGCTGCAGAATTGGGGAGGACAAGAGTGGCTGTGGACTTGGGAAGGACAAGAGTGGCTGTGAACCCACAAAGGATGACTCTGGCTGCAGACCCAAGGAGGGCAAGACTGGCTGCAGACCCTGAGAGCATGAGAGTGGCTGCTGCAGATCCAAGAAGAACGAGACTGGCTGCAGACCAAGGGAGGATGAGATGGGCTGCAGACTGAGGCAGCACAAGACTGGCTACAGACAGAGGGAGGACAAGGCTGGCTGCAGACAGAGGGAGGACAAGACTGGCTGCAGACAGAGGGAGGATGAGACTGGCTGCAGACCCTATATGGGTGAGACTGGCTGCAGACTCCCTATGGTCAAGTGTGGCAGTCTACTCCTGCAGCCTCTGTTTGGGTGACAATGGAAGAATTCATGAGGACATCAGAAGCAATCAACGACTATATCATTATCAGTGATATACCTTTACTGCCAGCTTTCCAATTAATCCAGCAGTTCAAGACCTTGCCAGATTTCTTGATGTTTCCAGTGTTCCTGGCATTAAGATACCACCACCATTCCACCTCGGTGATACCAGAAATTCTTCTTCTACCAGACAGGGAGATAATTCATGTTATGAATGCTTTTGAGAGGTTTGCAAATGAAGCACTGGAACAGAGCCAATCAGCTTCTGACACTCTCAAGTACGCCTGTCACAACTGGGCTGTACATCTTTCCCATGCTCCCCATCCATGGGATGACACACTCACTCATGTATTTGAGGCTTTTTGGAATGATCATATTATCCTCTGGCTGGAAATGGAGTAGTGTTTGAAGGGTCTGTGGTCTTGCCTTGTTGTCTTATCTGAATGGCAGAAATTTATGAAGGTGCACCCTTGGCAGCACCTCAAAGATGTTCCCATGGTCTGTCAGACCCTATTATTATGTAGGGGATATATAGTCTGTGAGACCTCATCCTCCAGGAGGTCTCCCCCTAGTTTTGCAGGGCCATCCAGAGTTCCCTCCAGAGCATCCATGTAGAGTCTCATTGCGGAGGGTCAGTCCACCCTCCTGGTAAGCATCCTGATGAGCCTCAACATTGAGGCCTATTTGAGCATCTTCATATGTTAGCAGGATGTTGGCGAGCCTGACAGGCCTCAACATTGAGGCCTATTTGAGCATCTCTGTATGTTGGTGGGATGTTGGCAAGGGTGATGGCAGATAAGTTTTGCAGCCTCTCAATATGTCTAGGTCCATATGTTTTTTTCTGCAATCCTTCCAATTAAATGTTTTTCTTTCTGTTTTTTTGTCTCATTCAAATGACCCAAAACAACATGCATTGATCAGACTGATATGGTAAATACAATGGCAAGAACTAGACATGGAGGTAGTGGCAGAGCAAATGTGTTTGTAAGTCTATAAACCTCCCTTTCAACTATCTGGGTCATTAGGATATTCACACCCATATCCATCCTGATACCATCCCACTGGGCCAAAATATTGGTGGCTTGGTGGGTGCCAGTACTCTTCATGATACCTGTCTCAATGGTTGCTGAAGGGAGTCTCAGAGTATCCACCATTATGATGGTAGCCTTTGTCATAGTGCTGAGGGCCCAGAGGACCATGAGGGGATTGCAGAACATGAGAGGGCTGACTGTGAGGGGGCTGGGTGGTGTGAGGGGCTGGGGGGGCATGCTGCATGCATTGATTGTGGTAATTACACTGTGTTAAGAACCATGTTGCTCAAGGGGGAGAGAGACTGACTCAGAGGGGCTTGGCCTCAGCTCGTACACTGTGCCCCTTACCTGAGTATGTGCCCTTCATTTCATATGAGGTCCGATGATGGTCCGACGAAGTCCAGAGGACTTCCGGAGGCTGGCTACTCTGCTGGAGAGCGCTAGAGGACTTCCAGAGGAGTGCAGGAAATGTCTGGAGGAATGCAGGAAGTGCTCAGGAGAGTTTCCACTGCAAGGTAATACTTCTACAGGAAACAGGATGGAAGGATAGGAGGACAGGAGGGCAGGAGGGCAGGAGGACAGGAGGGCAGGATGATGGAGGACAGGAGGACAGGAGGGCGGGATGATGGAGGACAGAAGGACAGGATGTCCAAAGGTACAGAGGGCAGGATGTCCAAAGGTACGGAGGGCAGAACGTCCAAAGGACAGGATGTCCAGAGGTATGAGGGACAGGAGGTCTGGAGGTCCGGAAGGAATAGGGGCTACATCGGACTTTGTCCAATATAGAAGCAAACAGAGGTAGACTACCCTAAGGTAGAGTCAGAGAGACAGGGATTGGACCTAAGTCTGGAAAGAGGGTAAGTGCCGGAAAGGCAGAGCTCCAGCCTAGGGAATCAATCCCTAGGCCTGATGAGTAGGACAGACTTAGGTGGACCAAAGTCCAAGAGAGGATTGGGCAAGTCTAAGTTGATATTCAAACTAAGGAAACTACAGGAGTATCTACAGGGGTTATATACTGGAGAATATCTGAGGGGATCAGTAAGCAAAGGAGCAGGGCTATGTATGAGCATGCAGAAACACATTAGTAAGTAAGACGGAACATAAGTAAATGAACTCAGAGATGAAGACTCATACAAGGATCAATAAGCAAGATGGAAGAAGAGGTAACTGAAAGCCAGAAAGGTGGAGATGCCTAAATGGGGATAGGCACAGGATATCAGACAGAGGGTGGGAATAGGTCCAGCATTAATATCCGGAGGTCTGGAGATCTGGGGATCTGGAAGACAAGGTGGATACAGGACCAGAATACGAGAAGGTGGATATAGTCTGGAATCCAAGACGAGGTGAAGTCCAGATGTCTTGCTGGATGGAGTGCACATAGGGTGGACAGGATAGGGTTATACAGATCAGGCTAGCAGTGAGGATCCAGAGGTCCGGAGCTCAGGGGTAAATCCAGAGCATAGTCAATCCTGCTGAGGTGTAGAGTACACAATGGAAGGGGATCTGGGAATGAGTTGGATATGGGATCCGGATGTAGGCTCAGAAGGCGTGGGAATACTATGGAATGTGAGTCTGGATTGTGGGATATGACACACTGATAATCTGGTGGGTAGCAGGGGAAGCCACAGCCAGGGCCCTGGAAGTGATTCTCTCCATGGGGATGGTCATTCCACTGGGATGATGGATAATGCAGGTCTGTACACAATCCCTGGCATGAACCATACAAGTGAGTATCAGGTTGAACAACACCTGGTCTCAGGCTGGCATCATAGGGCCTCATCATGGACTCAGTGGCCAAACTCCCTTCTTGCTGAATCCCAACAGATCCTGCATGCTGCTTGTGCTCAGGTCCTGGAGCAGGCGGGGGTTGCAGAGCCGATGACTGTAGGGCAGAAGGTTGTTGTGGAGGAATATCATCGGTCGGACCACTTGCAGCAGGGACTGCAGGCGCAACATGGTCTGTGAGCATATGGGAAGACTGATGATGCATTGGTGAGGGTGACAATGGTGCCAAAGACTGTGGAGGAAGGCTGTTGGCCACCTCAGTGCTGGGAGCCTCTCCAGAGGCAGTGTGAACAAGACTCTTGGGTTCAGCCTCCAGACAGGCCTTTGGGGGCTCTAAATCTGTTGTAAGTTCACCACAGAGAGGATCAAGCAAAGAAAACAATACCTTTGGGCTCAGCCTCCAGATGGGCTTTTGGGAGCTGGAGCTCTAGATATTTTGTAAGTTCATGAGGATCAAGCAAGGAAAAATACAGTGGCTCAAAAAACTGTCCACATGTTTTGACATTTTTCACTATCTATGATATTGTGTGAGAATGAACAAATGCCTCAAGGACATACTTATACCACATTGTAGTATGGCTTCAGGGCTTTCATTTGAGCCCTACACCGTGGGAATCGGTGGAGATATGGTGGAGACATAAGGCTTATAAAATGATGACTCATGTGGACAGTTTTTTGAGTGTATATTAAAACTATATAAATCATTATTTATGACACCACAAAAATCATGCCACTATTATATAAATTATGAAGTGGTGTCATTATGTTATTTTATGACTATATCTAACTACATAAACCAGAATATCTCATGTATCATAGTCATAATCACCATGAAAGCCATCTCCTCTGCTCAAAGAGATAATATCCTCTCTCTGTCTTATGCTGGCCTCTCTGCTCACCAAATTTCCTCTAGAACTGGAGTATGCAAGTCCACTGTGGCCAAGTTTATCAAAGAAAGCCACCCAGACAAGGAAAACTCTTGTGGAGGATGTCCATCCAAGCTTACCTCTACTGACAAAAGGGCTATTATCCAACATATCACTACAGGAAAGGCTGATAATGCTGTCCAAGCCACCCATTATATCAATTCCACCATCACTACCCCTGTCTCTTCACAAACTGTAAGGAATGTTCTCAAGGCAGCTCATCTCAAGGCAGTAACAAAGAAGAAAAAGCCTCTTCTCTCCATCAAACATAGGCAGAGAAGACTAGCCTTTGCCTTAGCTCATTAACACTGGACTGTAGAGGACTGGAAGCATGTTATATGGTCAGATGAGACCAAAATCAATAGGATTGGGTCAGATGGGAAGGTATATGTATGGAAAAAGAAGGGAGATGGCCTAACAGACAGAGAGGTTAATGGAACTGTCAAGTTTGGAGGAGGTTCTTTAATGGTATGGGGCTGTGTGGGATGGAATGGTGTGGGAATGCTTGCTGAGGTTGAGGGGAAGATGAATGCTGAGCAGTATGTGAACATTTTAAATGACCACTTGCTGCCTAGCTTGGCAGAATCAGAATCAGGGATTGATGAAGAAGATATCATTTTCCAACAGGATAATGATCCCAAGCACACATCCAGAAGAGCTAAGGAATGGTTTGAAGAACATAACATCAATGTTCTTGACTGGCCAGCACAGTCTCCTGATGTCAATGTCATTGAACATCTCTGGGGAACACTCAAGAAAAAGCTTCAAGCCTATGAAAACCCCCCTAAAGGAGTATGAGAGCTTTGGGAGAGAGTAGCAGTGGAATGGAGGAAGATCACAGCTGAGGATTGCCAGAAATTAATTGAGAGTATGCCTAGAAGGATAGAGGCAGTAATTAAAGCCAAGGGAGGTCATACAAAATACTAGAATACCTGGTTATTATTGTAAAATACTTGAGTCAAAAAACTGTCCACATGAGTCACCATTTTGTGAGCCTTGTATCTCCACCATATCTCCACCGATTCCCACGGTGTAGGGCTCAAATGAAAGCCCTGAAGCCATACTACAATGTGGTATAAGCATGTCCTTGATGCATTTGTTCGTTCTCACACAATATCATAGATAGTGAAAAATGTCAAAACATGTGGACAGTTTTTTGAGCCACTGTATAGAGTATTTGAGCGCAAACTACAGGTTCATCAGTGGATTAGTTCATCATGTCACTTATCACAATCAAAATACTGGCAAATGTCAGATCCACATTCATGGCAGTATACCATTCCCTTTCCCTGGTGGCAGTGAGTTACCTTCCATCAACCAAACTATTCCACTGATCTCACTATGTATGTAGGACCACTTGTCACGATTCAAGTAGTAGGTATTCATTGTATCTCGCTGTCAAAAGTTGGTATTGATGTCTACATCTTATTTGGTGCTCATTGTGCACTGTACTCAATGCCATCTTTGAACATCTTTGGGAGGGTTGTAGACTGTCTTAATTTCATATCACAGAGCAGAGATTCTTACTACAAGTATGTGTATATAGTGTCTAAATGCTACCATGTCCTCCTTGTGCATGCCCGGACAATGAGCTCCCCGTAACACTGCTGTGATTGCTGCCAAGACCCAGAGGCCACAGTCATAACCATTCATTTGCAGAGGCTGTACTGTCAGTGGACAAGCTACCCAACCTTTGATATCAATAAGGTCAGAGCCACAGTGTGTGTGGGCAATAGATGATAAGTGGGCAATGAGTTTCATGATGTCCTATGACCATCATGAGCTTAACATAGCATGACTCAATTCAATGCTGACCTTCACATCATTTTTCCATGGCTGTCTGTCAGCAAGACTGTCAAAGAGGTAGAGTTCTTTGCTTGAAATGTAGACTGCACAGAATACCAAATGTCCAACAGGAGAGGAGTGATGAATGGGTATTATCCAGATATCTTTCTCCCAATATAATATCCACAACATATTCCACCATAGTATTTCATCAGATGCATTGTATCGGATGCAAGGGAGATCGTGCATGGAGAGAATAGCACAAGGCCATATATGTGAGTGGGTCAGTATCTCGGAATACAGCAATGCAGCGCAGCCATTGATGCATCTGTCATTAAGGCAGGCTGTGGGTTGTGCTAGTAATGACATCTCCCATGACTCAAAGACTTGACAGAGAAAGCCATCCTGTGCTGGTCACACCCTGGTCAGGGGATTCCCTGATGCTGGTACAATGATGTTGTCTTCTGGGCAAGAGACCTTGTAACCATCTGTGTGAAGACCCTGTAGGATCTGATGAATATGGGTGCCACCCATACAAGACATAAGAAGGTACCTCTGGCAACTCCCAGCAAATCACAACTTCAGGATCTCCCACAGATGATGTATCTTTGTTGTCATTGTCATTGTCATTGTCATTATCATCAGCAACATTGCCATCTTGCAAAAGATCCAAGAGTGCTGCTTCCAAGTCTTCAGCTGCTTCTTCAAATGTAGGTTCATCAGCATCATGCTCTGAAGGGGCATCTGGCAATGCCACCTTGCCTCCAGAAAGAGCGATTGTGAGATTGACCACTGCTGTAGCATTGCTAGCAAAGCAGATAGAGGATGCTAGTGAGGTGATCTACTTAGTCTGCAACTGGAGGACATGACACTGCTGTTGCTGCAGTGGGAATATCAATATGTGGTCTTCTAAGATTAGTAGTGATTATCAATATACATAATATTACTTACTTGCAGGAGAGCGTAGGGCGAGCTCCAGCACAGCCAGCTCATTTCCAAACCATCAACAGAGGTTATCTGCTTCATGGCCAAGGTGGTGCTGTTCCTCACAGCATCAGTCTCATTTCAGTAATGCTCATATTCCATCTTGTACGTCAGTGTCTTCCATCCAACAGGGGACATCCCCTACAGATGGGGTGATCCAAACATCCTCCATCAATGTCTGATCATTTCAAAGGTCAGCGAGTTTGGTAGGAAGGGGAGCAGGGAGCAGGACACCCCAAGATGGGTCATAGAGGCTCTCGAGACATTCACAGTATGAATTAAATTTGTGGATTGTGGTCATCAAAGCTGGCTGATGCTTCGCAATGGCTTTTCATGTCTGTTGATGGAGCTTTGTACCTGTAAGAATAAGTCAAAATTCCAATATGGCAAGATAGAAGCATCAAATATTACCAAGGGCCTAATTTGCACCACTGACTGCACGGTTGATTTTATCCCACTCAAAAAAGCTGCCTATGGCTCACTTGCAGATGTTTATCTTAAGGTCATGAGCCATGAGGAGAGTTTGAACAAAAATTAAATTGACACCTTGCAACTCTGGAAACCTGTCATGGATGTTAAGTGAGGCATATAATACTTCAACCTTATTCATCAAATGGTCATGGCTGCGCTTGAGGCTCTCCAGAGCATCCAGTGTCTCCTTGGTAACTGTGCCATTCTCTACCACAGTGCATGTGCCTTGCAAGGCCCTATCAGAAGCATCTAGATCAGCTTGTAGAGAAAGTACAATGTCAAGCTCCTTCTTCAGTCATGCAGGAGCATCTATAGATGGCAATATGTGATGTCAGTTGTATCTTTGTGCGACTCACACGGACTTATGGCCATGAATGGAGAGTTGTGATTTCTTCTGATCTGCCCACTGATCCTCAAGGTCTTCAGTTTTGATACCACAATTATTCAGGACTTCTTTCACTGCAGTACCCTGAGCATTAACACCATGTTTGAGCCGCTGTTTAATCCATTCACCCAGGTCTATTCACATCTCCAGTCCAATGGTGCTGGCCTGTTGATCTATCAACCAGAGACGCCTCTGGTGCTGTATATGCACTACTATTAATGAAGAATCATCATCAAGCTGCCAGCCACTTACTGATGATGACTGTTGAATTCCGATCAGCTTAACAAACCTTGACCACAGTCTCTTGGTACCCTTGCCATCAGACAAACCAAAGCCACTGCACATCTGAGGGTTATATTCCAGCTGACAGGCCCATTCATGTCCATATGCATGCATGGCTGTCATTGCAAACCAAAGATGTGAAGTCACAGACTCAGGAAGAATATCATACTACATACACATTAGGTTGAGATCTTGTCTATGAAAGAAGCACTTACTTGAGATAATGAGTGTGAGAGAACACAGCCAATGTCATAGAGCATGACAATGGTAGCATCCTGAGGTAATAGGGAAAATAGGTGCCTAATGAGTGATATGGCGTATTTCTGCTGCTCACTGGGTGAATCAATGTTGGCAAAGAAGAGTGAGATATCATGACGGCAGATAAGAGCCATGACACCTGTATCATCGAAGGAATCCATGGCAGCCTTCTGCTTCTTGCCATCTGTGGCTTCATATGAGTGTTGCATTGATTGATGGCTTTGTCCAGAATGAGAGAAGTGTGAATCTTGGGTGCACATTTATACTGTGTGAGAATGTGCTGTCCAACTTCATCAACCTCAGTCTTGGGAAGAAAATATGAAGGTTCATAGAAGTGTGGGCAGTCACCTGCAGATCATCGATGACGATGATGGAAGTTACTGTCAGTTGCAATGTGGATGTCTCCACCTTCACTAAGTGGCCTGCTGAAGATGACACCTCCAAAGCATGCTGGGCAGCGCTGCATTAGAATAGAAGTGCATTGCCCTTGAAGCATGGAGGTGGTGGAGGACTTGGGGGTAGGCGGGCTGGCCTCCTCATTACATTGAGGTCTCCAAGCCTGGTAGACTTGCTCTTGACAAATTTGTACCACAACTTCAGTCTGCTGCTCAATTTCATTCTGTAAAATGTCATACCACTGGACAGCTTGGCCAAGTCCACGTTGAAATGGTTCTTGAATAACTTGCCCCTGTAGTGCAATGAGTAAGTGTCCATAGGGCTGATAATCCAGACCTCACATCTGTGTTGGTCATCTGAAAGCCTCAGCGGGTGTCATGAGTTTTCAGAGTGGAGGCGAGCATGTGGATGGCATCACATGAACACTCAAACAATGCCCAGTAGAATGCAAGGAGACCCATGGAGACTGCCATGCATGGTTGAGATGGTGCAGTAGGAAGGAGGCCATGGTGTACAAGGACTTGTGAGAGCATTGAACATTTGCACACCAGTACATTGACATAGAGGAAACCTGGAGTTGTCAGCTGGGGCTGGGCACAATAAATGAACTGCTTATGGTCAAAAAAGAGGCAGACTATAGAGAATCATCACTGTGCACAACCAGGGCTTGCACAGGCAGATATGACTGGACATATTTCTGGAAGAGGGTGCCCATGGGTTCTGGCTGAGTACTTGAGGTGCACATCTACCAAGGTAGGTATAAGCATCTTCCAGGAAGTATAGAGATTGTTTGCCATCTTGTCTGGTAAGATACAGCATCCCAGGTCCTTGTGCGCCACGTTTTTTGGGAAAGGTGCTTCTTGGTCGGGCTGATAGTCATTTGTTATGGAGTTGTCCTCATTGTAAGAATAACTAGCAGAGTCATCAATGATCATGGGTGCTTCAAATTGAGCAGGTGCAGAACTAAATTTGAGTGTATCAGTAATTAGTACTTGTGGCTGCATTAGAGCAGCCATTTGTTCACGAAGGTGCTGGTGTCTGGAGTTAATGCCAGGAATGTGTATGAGCGTCTGTGTTTTTTTGGCATCTCAAGCCTTCTTGGGGCTAACAAAGTGGTATCCAAGTCCCATAGATATTGGCTGGGTGCCACACATAGGACAGACAGGTGGCATGGTGGTGGATGTAGCAGTATAGAGCGAAAAAAACAATGAAAAATGGACTTAGCTGACTGAAAGCAGCATTGAAGAGGGAGAATGCAGAGGCTCTGTATCTGGCAGGCACATCATAGACACTATCTAGAGGCTTGATGAAGTAGAACAGTGATATCAACAAGCATCTTGTGAGGTTATATTGAAAGTACAGGATATCCAGGGGCCAAGGATCCAGGAGGGCCAAGAGGATCCAGGGAGGTGCTGAGGAGGATGCAAGGTATATTTAGTACTGTTCTATAATTAGATCATCCCTGAGGCTGGGTCTCATAGACCATATAATCCTAACATAAAAATAGGGTCTCACAGACCCTTATTGGTACCAAGAAGTACTGCCTGAGGTGTGAAGGTGTGTATTTCAACAATTCAAGGTTACCAACCACAACTGATGTTCCATGATATTTAGTCCATGACATGAAGCCTTGGAGTTTCCCCTATCTTCTTCAGTCTGGACTCTTGAGCTGTTGATGCGCAACCCAGCACTAGCACTCAAATTCATCACCTCTACTGTGACCCCATTGACAGTGCTTACAAACCACTGACAGGTGAGATTAACATCAGCACCAGCCAGTAACATGGAATCCTGCAGTGTAACAGATAGCATGATGTACCTCACTCCTTGTTATGGAAAAATGTTGCCTCAAAGTACCTACAAATGTTAGATCTATTGTTGATACCACCCTCGAGTTCATTCAACTTGTTGAGCTCGTGAGCAGTGGCACATTCAAAAAGCCTGTTTGCACCATCATAATTAGTTGCTCATGCATGCATGACCATAGTTTGATGGTGAGACTATATGTATTTTTGCATCTGTTGTGTGGGATTTGGATCAAGTATGAATTTGCCCAGGGAAGGGTTTTGTCAGACTGGCAAAACATGCCAACATGTTTGTGCTGTCTACCTAAGTCTTGACCAATGCTGACAACATTACTTGTGAACAGTATCATGATATTTGTTTTTGTTTTTTCCAACCGTTCGCTGAACCGGTACAATATTTAGTTCTAGCCAGGGTCATTAGCCGAGCGAAAATCTAGAGAATTCCTTCAATATTGAAGCGGCAGTCGAGTCCACTCCTCTTCTAATTATTGTTTGTTTGTATCAGTTAGGTGCTAAGCAAATAACTCAAAAATAACTCATCAGGCAGCCATTTAATCGTCAATCCTCCAGCTAACATGGCTGATGAATTCGATCTTGAAGCACTCGTGCACTTGGAACAGACGTTGGCTTCATCATTTTCTATAATTGGCACATCCCTCTGAAGAGCAAGTCTCAGGTTCTACGACGCCGGGTATACCGACGGCTTCGCCCATGGACGTATTCATGGACTGATCGAAGGTCGAGCCCTCGGCCGAGAGAAGGGCTTCGAGATATGGGAAGAGATCGGGTTTTACGAGGGCTTTGCTATCACTTGGCAAGCGATATATGCAAAGTATGGACAGAATGACCAGTACGTTGTCAGCCTGACTTGAGCTCTGCATGATTCTTCATCATCATGACCTTTGAATTGCAGACGCGCGGTACACCATATCAAGCATCTACTTGATCTTATATCACAGTTCCCACAAGTAAATCCGTCTACTGATGCAATAGCATCTGGCGCTACGGAAGAGATTGATATTTCGAAGCTGCAGCGCCAGATTCGATCGCGATACAAGGCGTTGTGCGCATCGCTCGGTGTAAAACCTACGCTGAGGGCGGTCGATGTAGAATCTAACGATGACGGTGGTGTTCAAAGTATGGATCAACAGAAACAAGTGTGGAAATTAGAAGAAGATGCGAAAAGACCGACGATGCAAGGACTAAGTTTTTGAAGAGGACTTTAGGATGTCACCCAGGGTTACGCTTTTGCGCGCGAAAGCACTTACATGTGGATATCCACCCCAAGGCAGGTCCACCTTGTTGTCGAATCTCAAAATTTCCCTTATTCTCGCCAGATCACAGATGACAGCGGTAAATCGTATTAAGAGCTTGGAAATGTGTCCAAGTAAGCATAGGTAATACAATGGAGGCGAATTAAACGCTCGGATCTTTGTCCGAGTAGTCATACTAGGTACTCGAGATATCTGATACATGGGCAGGCGATAGCGATAAACAAGTTTGTTATACAGTGGTTGTCCTTCGAGTACGCAGAATCAAGAAAGCGTCGCGTGAGTGGCATCACGTTAATACGAGCAGCAAGCGCCGTTCGTGCCGTTGGCGCCGTTCGCTCCATTGAAGGCTGGCTTGCTCATCGGGTCATTGGTTCCTGGAACATCCATGCTCGGGTTCTTCGTGAAGAAATTGTTAGGTTTGAACAACAAATTAACGTGCTCAACTGGCATGCTAAGGGAGGGTTAGGCGGCCGGACTCTTCTATGCAACAAGTAGTACTCACACAGGCCAATCCTCAGGGCGAGGAATGTGAGTCGTGCCTACGAAAGATGTAAAAATACCATTCATCCAATGACCAAAGAATGTGAGCAAGAGTACAACGCACCGACAGTCAGGTAGAGCACAATGTCCTCGTTCTCGATGCTTCCGTTTCCATCTTTGACCCATCTGCCAACAGAGTCCTCAGGCTCCTCACGAGTCTGTGGGACGTACTTTCCACTTGGCCACATCCTGCCACCATCTACACCCTCTTTGTCTCTTACAACCCACAACGTCTTGTGAGCAAATGAAGCACGACGAGCAACCCAGGAGTCAGTATGCGCCATAAGTGGAAGCACACCTCCCTTCATCATGATAGCATAACTTGCAGCCTTGCCTGATGAACCATGCGTCCGTGCCCCGTTTGTGATGCGCCAACGACGTTCACGAGCCCAGTCGAAGTCGCGCGCGCCGTCTTGCACTTGAGACTTGAGTACTTTGTCCTTCACAAGGAAACCGTTGCCTGCGAAGTTCTCTTTTGAGCCAGTGGGGGCGCTGAGAGGGACAATGTCGGACTCGACGACGGAGTTGTAGAGGCCATCGATCATCGGGTCGACTCGAACGGAGAACAAGTGCTGGTGGTTGTGTGCGTTGATGTTCGGAGCGATAGTCGTACCGTAAGGGTTGGGTTCGTCTTGACCAGCAACATACACCTGAAGAATTCCGGTAAGACGGATCTCAACTTCAATGTTACCGTCTTGATAAAAATGATAGTTCCAGATGTATTCTGATGACAATGGGAACCTTAGCCACCGCGAGCCAGGCTTATGTGCCAGTCAACGTACCGTAGTTTGCAAGCGTGCAGACCATGCTGACGACTAGACGCCTACTGCGAACTGTCTGATGACGGCCACCGGGACGATAGTCAGTGTGCTTCCAAAGAACACCAGCATCTTCCTCATGAATACATATCGCATTCTTGATTATAAATGGAGTCCCAGAATGTGTGACATACGTCCCAGGCTGGAGGAGGATCAGTAAGACATCATCGCACGGATTGACAGTCGTGGAGACGTACGAGGTAGTGAATTTGTCCGAGGCAATCACAGCCTAAGGAAAGCTCGTTTGCCATGGTTCCCATACCGTATTCACCACTAGAATAACTTGAGACACTCATCAACAATTGTTTGGGAGACTACTCACCTGTCAAAGGCGAATTTGCGAGGATGAGGGAATTCCGGTGCGCCATATGGAACGACCATCTCTGCGAGCGACAGACGATACATAATAGGACGAATTTCGCCGTCGTCGTTGTATGTAATTGTCGAAAGCGCAATACCCTCGCGATGGCTGAATCCTGTATGAACGACATCTTGAATGAACAACAAAGTTTGAGTATTGCAAATGACGAACCAACGTGCATCTTCCACTTCTGCCACTCGAGCACATTGCCATCCATCTTAAATGACACACCCTCAGGCTGGAGGACGTGAAGAGGCTTGATATCATCACGAGGCTTGTGAGTCGGGTCCGACTGAAGGAGATCCGGTAGGAAATCGAAAGACTTGACAGGAGGTGGAATGCGCTCTCGTTTTGACTCGGTGAAAGAGTCTTCGGACAATGGACACGGTGCTGTACTCGAGACACCCAACTCTGCAGAACCGTCCTTGGCCCTCTTGTAAGTCGGTGGGAAGTCAATCTGGACAACCTTCTCTGCGAGAGAGTCGATGACTACGACAAAGTCCTGTAGTCACATATTTTAAGTCGACAATTTCAGCAAGTGAATGAAAGAACCAACCAAGGGGTGGGCATAAAGGTTCTCATGCTCAGAGTAACGAGCGAAGACGAAAGCTTGTTGCAAGCGAGTGTGTTTTGGGAAGCGGTCATCATAACCAATGGCCCAACCGTCAGCATATATTTGTTCAGGTAGCACTCCTACGAAACAGTGAGCAGAATCCCAGGTAACACCCAGCCAGCACTTACCAACTTCTTTCGCGAGGGCTTGAACTGTGGGATCTCTGCGCACAACGTGCTCACAGAAAGCAAGCTCCTCAGGAGAAATCTGAGGTTCTGCGCCTTCTGCGACTAACCCGCAGGTATCGACGTTCCATGTGCCATCTTCAAAAGACAGAACGGCGTTATATGTACCCCTATGTTACCATGATGAGTTGTCGTGTGATCACGATTATTGTGCGAAAAAACGAACCCGTCGACCACGTCCAAGAACTATGCAGCCCGTCGTCAGTTAGAACAACATTAAATGCATTGTAATTACGTACATCACTTTCGGCTTTCCTCACGATCGGAGTGGGCGCTTCGGGCTTGCCGCCCGGTATAAGAGGGATTCCTAGTGCCGCAAGGACGGCCTTCTTCGGCGGCGGGATAAGAGTGCAGGTGATGAAACGGACGGCCTTGATTGGGGTATTTGCGGTAGTATGCAGCCGGATCGCCAGAGACACTGCATTGATCTAGAAGAGGGAATGAGGGCACGTTGAAGGCAGAAAGCCAATCAATTACTGACCTCATCTGGAGTCAAGGGGTCTAGGGGGTGTTTAAACTTCTTGGTCGGGGTTGCTGTCACGGTGTGGACCGTCGTAGCGGTAGCAGGGGAGGCTGAAGGAGCCATATAGCGATAAAACGGTCGGAGCACGGAAGTATTGAGGCTGATAGGCTACTGGGGGTCGAAACGCTGCCCTTCTTATAGGTCGACAAAAAAACCTTGTAATTATTAGGTTATAAGTGCTTATCATAATATACGAGAGTAAATGGGCACGATGCAACCTGCAGGGGGACCCTTTTCAAAAACGTGGCTCAGATAAGACTCATCACTGGGAACATTCCTGATATGATAAGGCGAAGTAGTGGCGAGAGTGTGGGCAAAGCGAAATCAGAGAAGGCGCAAAATCATGGCCACACCGCGCTAAACCGGATTGAAACCGGATACCGAGAAACTTACCGAGCATTACTCCAAGAATGCAGGAAGGATGACATCAAGCTTGTCGACTTTGACATTCCCAAGCACTGAACACTATGGCAATGTGACTATGCTGCTTCATTCATCTCAACTTAATTCGTCATGGGTGTATCCAAAGAAGACACCGTTACCAGGTTCAATCAATATGACCGTTGAACGGTGGCTTGTCTCGGATAAGAGCTATCAAGCAGGAACGGGAATAGGTCTCGTGAGTGGTGCTAAGATAATGGATGTCCCGAAGAAGAAGTACCCGGTCATGGTCCCAGAGAAGTACGAAGAGTATGTAGTACCCCATTTCCCAATTCGTGACCTTGACCGTGTTATGGTGATCGGGAATCACATGCGCAAGGTGAGACGGGCTCGGGCGTCGCGTGAGACGCCATAAGATTGACGCCCACACAGTTACAATAGCCGACATCTGGCGCAAGAGGATCATCATCTCAAAGAAACGAAAATCACGGAAGAGCTCGCCAATACAAAGAGTACCATAAGGTAAGGCTTATTCTTACGAGTCTCAGAGGCGTAACGCCAGGCCGGCTAAATCCTCAAAAACTGGGGGTCATGTGAGCGCCTTGAAATCCGGAGGCCGCTCAATTACCCACCTTTACGTTGGACATTTTTACAGGATCCGGTCGACTCAGGCCCTTCAAGTTGAGGAAGAAGAGAGCGCCTTGTGCCATAATCAACCGGGTGAAATTTTGCCGCAAGAACCAGATAGCGCGTGCAATCGCGGGGCTCCGGAAAGGGTGGAGGAAGGATTGACTACCAAGAGAAAACGAGAGACCACTGACGGTAAGGCGAATCGGCTAAATTGCGATGCCGAAGGGCAAATCCAGGAAGAGTCGCCCATGCAACTTGAAGTCACCAGGAAGTACTAGCCTGCATGCGCTCGAGACGTTTTGTTATCTTGAAACCTGTTATGAGCAATAATTTTCCGTCTATAGCGGAAGTTTAAGTAGAGGATATTGCCTTCTATCTCCTCGATGCTGATGGCAAGCGGCAACCTTTCAAGGCTTCCGAGTCGGCGCGCCGTGCTCGGCACATAAATAAAGCCAGAACGTTTACGCGAGTGCACCACCGACTTGACTAGCATGTTTCTCGATGTGTGTTAGGCTTGAAGCTTGAAGAGAAGTGTTTCAGGCATCCACGTCTGTCTCGATCATTGAGACATACGTGGATGCCTAATATCAAGCGAAGTACGTGAACTACTAATCCCTACGGGTCTTGCTCAGCACTACTGACGCGAGCGGCAGCTGGCGACGTCTCTGTTAGGATTAGATGCGTACGGTAAGGAAGGCCGGACGACTGACGAAATCTTCGCTTGAGCTTCAACCCTTCATTGTTAACGTTGTCAACAACATTTAGTGCTTATGCAATGCTTATGACAGTCGTATACACCGCTTTTTATTTTCACGCTGTTAGCCTTTGTTCTAGCTCCCTTTCATTCTATGCTTTATCCTTCTTTCTGCTTTACCCTTCCTTCACGCCATTCGCGCTTTGAATCAATTAATATTAACACACTCGCCGTATATACGAACCCCATGTAACTTTCGTAGACCCAGTCGATCAATTCCCCTCAGTAATCAACGTTAACGTTCAAGTTCTTCTCCCATTACTCAGAGTCATCTATTCACCAAAGTGTTTCCAAGCCTCGTCGTGATCTATTCCCAACCCATTCCCCGTCGAACTCTCGCACAGCCTTACAAGTGCGCTTCACTCAAGACTAAGTAAAGCTCTATATCGAGGATAATAGTTATAGGTGGAAAAAATGTAGGCATACGTCTCCTGGATCGAGGGTTAACCAGTTAATTCGGTGCTTTCACACTGCCATGATCCATCTACTGGTGAGATTTGCGAGATCATGTGTGATCGTTGATACACGCTCCTTGTGGCAGGAAAGACAGAATGAAGTTGGATCGTTTGTTTTTAGAAAGTCGACAATCATTGCTACATGTTGAAATTGCATCTGAGATTTATCTGAGATCATGTGTTCTGTATGAACTTTGAAGTCGGAATCACTTCTGTGTGTCGAGGTGCGAGTGCAAGCAATAAGCGCTAAGCTGGTCCATATTCAATAAGCAATTAGCAAGTGCATGTCACCGTGAGAAACCTAGTCCAAAGTAAGGAATTCTTGATTAAGTTGGTGAAAAGAGAGCTGAAGCGCTGACAAGCGACCAGCTACAGTCTGTTCCATCTTGTTTCCAAGTTCATCCTGACCGTCGCTGACAATGTCCAATAAGGGCCCTTTGTCGTCGGAAATGGATTTAATTTCAAAAGACGATACCACACTGCTACATAGCGTGCAAGTCGAGTCTATAGAGTTCATTGCCCAGGTCATAACATCTTCGACTACTACTAATTCCTCGACTGGACTTTCATCCACATGCGACCTTTTACCTTCGGAGGGGAGTCAAAAGAAAAAGAAGAAGAAAAAATCAAAGAAGCCAAAGACTCATGAAACTAGTGATCCTCCGGTAAAATCACGGGCAGCTCCTTCACCTGACTTCGAGCGCGCTTCTGTGCTCTGCATTAGTAGAAACAAGCACTGGAAATATATCAGCTCTTACCACGTAATTGTGCTATCTACCTCTCTCAGGCGTCCGAGCTGATCATCTGCATACTATACCAGGGTCCGTGGCTGCAACTTCCGTTGGAGTTGCTGGAATCGTTGCTTGTCCTCAATCTTGACCCTGCTACCCTATCTTCGTCGGAAACGCAGCTACCTGCTCTTGCTTATTCGTCTCAAGCTTCGCTTGGAAGCATTCAGTCACGACCGACACCACGTCCCCGCGACCGCGACCGCATACTGTATTCACTCAAGGATAATACTCCTCCGGAATCACCTGGTAATACTTTTACCACATTGCCGACGCCTTATGCTCCGACCTCACAGTCAGTTGCGTTTCCCCTGCCCGCTCCGGGTAAAGCTACTCCGCCGCCCATTGACCCTGGTGTTTTCCGAAACGTTGCAGCGATTCGGAGGCTTATCGATGAGGCTTCTGAACTTTCTGTGCGCGCATCTTCTGGTCTCTCCGCTGTTGCTCTTGGCTCTATGCGCACACCAAGTAATGGTGCCTGGACTACGGCTCAAGGGCTGGGCTTTGACGGCTCTAATAACGTCGGCGGAGGCAGGAATGTCGCTATGAGCGCAATGCGTGTGCATAGGCTCAGAGCCCTTGCTGTTCAGAAACTTGCGGCCGCTTACAAGGCGGATGAAATTGCCAGTAGCGTCATGGTAATGCAAGGAGGAAGCGTATTTGACGATATCGCTGAGAAAGTTCTCAAGTTTGGTACGTCCAGGGGGCTTCCATCAATGGGTTTTTCATTGGGGCGCAGCGCTAATGCTGCGACTCATACACAGATTCTAACGACGCTGATGCACGATATGTTCATTTCTTCCATGAAAAGATTCCCTCTCGGTTCGTGTAATGCATATATGATTCTTTGCCTAACTTTTTAAATTCAGTTCCAATAGGCAACTTGCGGACTCCACATCAACGCAAGTGCTTGATGAGTTGATTGCAGCCCATCCTCAGCGACTGGAATATCATCGGACGCGTGGAATAGTCCACTGTTTCCGCGACGAGTATCCCTTGGCGACAAAAGACTTTACTCACGCCCTACGGGAGTCCCGTGCGGCGCGAAAAGCGCGTGCCGCACATCAAGATTTAATATCTTCCCGTGAGCTTCGGGGGAAAGCTGCTAAGAAGAAAAGGGGCTCCAATAAAATCTGGGGACAGGCGCCTCCTAGTGGTACTAGTGCCGCTGCGAATGGGTCCAATGTCGAAGGAATCAATGAGGAACCGTTACTTTTACATCCTTCGGTTTTGCCAGATGCACCAGACCCTATCGAACCGCAGTTATTATTTTTGCGGGGGGCGGCACATTTGCAGCATGCCGTGTACCTCATTGAGTCCGCAGTATTGCGGCTCGAGGGCGTCAGCAAGGTCAATTCATCCCTTGATGGAGCTGAGATGCGCCTTTGTTACCTCTCTAACGGCCGCTACGGGGGAGTCGAGATGGGGAATCCTGACGGACCGCTGGGGCGCAGTGATGGCCCAAAAGCCCAGGCGTACCGGCGAGTTCTAGCTGATGACGGGTTTCGTGAAAACATTCACTCGCTCCTAAGGAAGAGCTTGCGTGATCATGAACGCTTCCTCTCTCATTTTGACACTCTAGAAGGTCCTGCGCCAATGCAAGCAGATCTGGCTAAAAGGGTGGAGGTTGCCTTCCTTTTAACTGAACTAGTGCGCCCAAATATTCATACGTCAACCGCCACTGGCCTCGCACACGTCGACTCCATTCTCCCGCCAATGTTCACTACCTACCACCCCTTACTCGTGGAGTCTCATTTCAGTATCCTTATTTGCCAACTTATGCTCGCCGAGTTACCCACTCTCCTCACTACTTTCTCGCGGACTGCAGTCGTTGTAGATGGGCTGGAGGGATACCCCGTGTTTCTACCTCCACGGTCGATGGCTCAAGCTGAGTTCATAGAGGTCCTCGAACGCCTTGCTAGTGGATGGATGCCGGGCATACAACCTCATTCATATGTACAGGGCAAGAAGGCGACAAACCGGCTTGTAATTGAGCCTCCACCGCCCCCCTCACCGCCCACGTCTTCCACCGATACCATATCCACATTTTCTGCGGACGCAGACTCTTACCCTGCTTTCGCATCTGTTTCGAACACATGCCAAATTCCGTCAGGTTCCTCGTTGCCCACCAACGGACGAAATACCCCTTCTAGTGCATTCAGCGGGAGTCGTGAGGATCTTCTAGAGGCATTAGATTGTGCCAGAATTTTACTCGTCCCTGTGGCTGCAAGGCAAAAGGAACGTGCTGAGAAGGCAGCAGCGGAGAAAGTCAAAGCTGGGAACAAAAAGAAGCCATTAAATTTCAACATACCGTTACACGGCCCACGAGTGGAAATCATCCTTGCGTGGTTTGCAGCTGTTCATCTTGTTGAACTAGAGAGCGTTGCCTGATATCACACGGAGTCTTGGTTTTTGATGGAGAGACTGTTTATTTCTTGGTCAGGCACACGCCGTAGTCCGAGATGTGACCTCGATCTATCACTATGAAATGGATTCTCCTGGACGAGCGTAAAATTACAATAGTTGTGTCACGAAACCTGGATCGCCCACAGTTGAAATGACACGCCACAGCATCGAGAAAAATGCATGTATACCGCACGACTAACACATCTCAGTGTTCCTTCTTTTCTCGAGCTGTGCTAAAATCGCGCAATTCCTGTCTCGCCTGCTTTATGAAATGATCGAGATAACTAAGTATCCACGGTGTGGCTAGAGCCGCACAGGACAGAACAGCGATAAGGAAGCACACAGTAGGAAGGAGAGAAGCCGGTAGAACGCCAAAATAGAGTTGTTCGAGAATGAGAATGAATGGAATCGCTTGAACATCCGATGCATGGAAATCAGGTGTGGGTGTGCGTATACCAGTATCAACGACTCGTATCCTGGCATACTTGAGGCGAGTAGTTACGGTGGATAAACCCGTGCGCGATAAATGCGGCGTAGTGATCGAAGCATCGTCTATCGCTGACTGGTGCGGTAGTCTAGACAAACGGGTTAAGATCGCCTCAGGACTGTAGATTTCGAGCAAAAAATCCGCGGGGGACTGTAATAGTGACGTATGGGTCAACAACCGTGAATTGGAGTTGGGATAGAATGAAAAAGCGTGCAACGTACGGAAGCAGGCCAGGATAGACGTAGCGTAAACTTCGAATAGGACATCCAGTTTTCATCATCGAGATCTAACGTTATCCAGAGCTCATGAAGGCATGAGAAGGGGTTCGCCGGATTGATGCCTGTCTCTGACTCGCACACCTGCTGCAAAGGCGTGTCGAGCAGAGCGGGATCTACGTTCCAGTGTCCCTGGTTATTTTTGTAATTCAAAATTGGCCTGCACGCAGGGCTGCGTCAATACACCAGGAACTGCTCCAAGCATCGTGTTCGAACTTACCAACTGTCAACCGTGGTGGACGAGAAGTCGACATTGCGTTCCTCAGCGGCAAGGAAGTTGATAATTTCCGTGTTGGCAATGACTTCCTGGCAAATGAACAGCACAATAAGGGGCAGGATAATGAAAGGGTGAAGCATGAGAACAAGTGTTACAATTCACTCTGGTTGGATGATTGCGGTCCCATTTAAGTATTTGCCTCCGCTCAAGTTGAATGTTCCACTGGATGAGGATAGAATTAGAGACGGGATTACGAAACCCACTATCAACTTCGAATTTGATTCATGTATACGGCGCAATTGAAACGCGGAAAATAAGGACGTATGTAAGGTATGACTACATGTACAACTGAGGGGGAACAAGAAACCTGCTTTGGCCAGAGCTTTCGAGAAGTATCATAATGGGTTTATCGATAAGGATGTTAAGGTACGCAGATAGTGACTCGTAACAGGGAAGGCGGTGACGCTAGTTGAGGAATGAAAAATGTATAGTAGAAGAATGGAAACTGATTGTCTGTGACTAAACCATGTGGATGTGGCATGCGAAGAAATGCAGACAACACGAGGGCTGAGTAAGAAGTGTCAGGTATAGCCTATGAATCTTCAATATTGCAATGTTCATGTAGAACTTACCATGTTAAATTGTGATGCGGGCAACGCCGGCGAAGAGATTGTTCATGGCGTCTTGGACTGCCCTGAACTTCGTCACACCACAACGCTCACTCTCGATGTGCTGGCACAACCCGCTAAGGGAGACGAAGTGGGCCTGGCAGGTGCTGAGAGGGCACCGATAGACTTTCTCCTGGTGGCGAGGGCTAGCCAAGTGACGGTTCAAGTCCATCAACGTCCGGAACTGGGTGTGACAAAGAACACATTCATAGGCCTGCCCGTTCCATGACTGCCCTGTCGCGATAAGCTTAACGTTGGCACGTTCACCAGCAGTGATGAGCCGCGCTGGGTTGGTAATCAAGTTAGAGCGATCATTGGTGCGGACCCAGTTGTCAACGACGCGTCGGTTGACGCCTGATCGACATGAGCCGGATTCAAGATGGAGAATGAGGGCAGAATTATTGATAAATGCCAAGCCACATCCGTTGAAGGGGCAGATAGTGTCTTTAGAGCGGTGTATACTAGAGTTCATGTGCTAGTTCATCTAGGTCAGGTTTCGCGCAGCTCCAAGAATGGAGCGAAGCTTACAGAGTGAAGGTTGCTCGGAGACCGGAAAAGTCTTTTGCACGCAATACAGTACACGTCAGCGTGCTTCTGCCGGTTATGCTCGTGCAAGCCAAAGTCGTTCTTGAAGACCTTGTTACAAGAGCTACAGTAAGCATGCTCGCCTTCGTAATGATCCTGTAAATCCGACGCAGAGTCAAAATGGACGCGGCAGTACTGGCAGTAATGGTGGTAGGGGCTCTGAACGTAATGTTCTTTGAGTCCTAGACTAGACTCAAAGTCGAGTTGACAACGATCACATTCCCAGTGATTGGTGGAGTCCCGGACATGCTGGTGGTAAGCAGACCAGGAGTTGAAAAAGCGATTACAGCGATGACAATCAACCATCTTCTGGATAGTTCTACTAAACAATTCTGAGCTGTTATAGGCGCGTTAGCAGCACCTCCCAACTCTACGCAAGAACTTATAATGACTTTGTCGTTGTGACTTGTAATGACTCTTAATGGTCGTTGAGAAGGGCAATTGAAGAGTCGACGCGACGAATTGCGCTGACATTTATATTAGTGGTGCACGGGGTCCCAGGCGCGTCGGTGTCAAACAAACGTCAATTTGGCCACCGCTAAACAGTTTGAGCTAAACGTTAAACTCAATCCGCTCGCCATGTACTCTGCTTCCGCACAAAAAGCCAAGAGACGCACGCACACGCGTCCTGAGCTTACCGACGAACAAAAACAAGAGATAAAGGAGGCTTTTGAACTCTTTGACACGGACAAGGATGGCTCACTGGACTATCACGAGCTCAAGGTCGCAATGCGTGCCCTCGGCTTTGATATGAAGAAAGCAGAGGTATTGAAGATATTACGAGACCATGACAAGAGCGGCCATGGTCTAATCGACTTTGAGGATTTTGCAAAAATCAGTTGAGTATTTCAGTTGCATCAATTCTACTCAAGCGACAAGTCCGTACCAGATCCCCAAAACGCGACTCATGTTTACATTATTGGGTCTTGATGAAACCGGATCTCACGCCTACAGCACCTTGAACTTCTCTCGTGATTGTGCGCCCTTTTGCTAACGTTGTTTCCCTAGTGAGCGAACGGATCCTTGCGCGAGATCCGATGGATGAGATCCGCCGAGCTTTCCAATTGTTCGATGATGACAACACAGGAAAAATTAGTCTACGGAATCTTCGACGTGTTGCAAAGGAGATTGGTGACCGATTGGAAGATGATGAATTGTGAGTAATCCCCATTCATTCTCGTTTTGGGGTGCAAGGTCTGCGAGAGGCACGTATGGTAGGCACTTCGTCCCAGCAACCCTTTTTCGTGCTCGTTACTGCATCAACTCCCTTCCTTTGCATTTCCGCTTTTTCTTCACCGCTGTTTGCCAAGTGACTGTTTTTTTTTTCGTTCGTGGAGTTCCAAATTTGCTCACCCCTTGTTCTTCCATTTCGCAGGCAAGCGATGATAGATGAATTTGACCTCGACCAGGATGGAGAGATTAACGAGCAAGAGTTTTTTGCCATCATGACAGACGATGCATAGCTCTCTTCCCTGATGGTCATCATCTCTTCCTATTTTCTCGAGTCGCATACCGTTATACCGTCTCTCACTGGTTATTATCTATTAACTCCCAATTGTTTAGTAATATATTGCGATCGTTCTCCGTACGGAACATCCACGAATTTTATCCTGTGAGTCATTTTCTGATCAAGAAAGGCGCCCTCTTATTCGTAATATAAACAGCTGTGCTATGTTCATTAGAATCCCTCGTGTAATTGTACAGCCGCCGCTTGATATGTGATGCGCCGCTGAGTGATGTCTATTCTATGAATCCTTGTAACACGGCCGGTGCCCACCGCGAATCACGATCGGGAGCCGTAAAGTCTTTAGAGAAGCCAAGGAGGCTGCCGGACCGCACAGCTTGAATTGATGCAGATAAAAACACATGCATTTGTTGTCCACTTGTGGCTACATAGCCTTGATCATACATGATGGGGCCCTATAATTCCCCAAAGAAGACTAAAACAATAATAAAACCCGTAAAACAAATCTCCGAAATAAACACCCGAGGAGTAAAATAATTTACAACCATAACGTATGGCTACATACGCAGAGTGGTGTTAGGATACAACCGAGAATGATGAGAGGTAAATAAAAAATCCGTCCATGATAGTGCAAGCGATGAATGATAAAGATACAACGTGACGATGGGATGCAGGGATAAGATACAACAGGATTGGCATGGGGACATTGGATTTTAGTAGCAGCATCAGCAGATGTCAAGACGGCGTTTTGCGAAGATTGCATATAATCGGCAACATAGTGGGCGCAGTCTTCTGTGGCGAACAAAGATTGCTCTAAGGATAGAACAAGAGCTCCGGGTAACTGAGAGGCGAGAACGTGTGACGACAATAGAGAGGACATCCTAGATGTCGACATGAAGATGATGCGAAGGAGCGGGGCGAAGGTCATGAGAACGTAGGTGCTTTGACTGTGTCAAGGACGTGGCAATGAAGATCATGAGCGAATGACAGACATAAGCCGACCAGGACGACGAGCGGCGATGAGGATGCACTAGAGAGCATCTGGAGCTAGCCAATGCAAATAGGGAAAGAGAGTATAGAGCAAGAAAGTGAGGGTCGTCAAATGAATTTCGAATGCGGGAAATGAACTGAAATCGAGAGATAAAACAAGAGTCGTGCGAGAGTCGTAGAGCGAGACAGAGAAAGGCTGGTCAAAGAACAATGACGCAATGGCCAGACCTGGCGAAAAGCCGACTGCACCGCAGAAGAATATATGGAGAACGTGAGTCCTGCGCGTGAGGGATTATGAGCCAATGACGAACCTGAAGCCATCGTCGTAATCACGGTGGATGCAATTAAACGTCATCCACCATACCCATCCTCTCCATCAACTTGGGAAGATCCTTATGGACTTTCATGTGCTGGCCTAGGTTATCGTGGCGACTAAACTCCTTTCCACAACCAGGGTATGGACATCTATGCGCTGCCATCGTTGATAAGAATGAGGAGATAGACTGCAGAAACATTTAACTTACGCTTTTCATTGGTGTGGATGCTCCTGATGTGTCGTTTCAGATGCTCCCCTCTTGCGAAACACTTGCCACAACCGCTAATGTCGCACAAATAGATCCGACTTCCGAGGGGGTCACTGTAACCTCGGGCCCGACCACTGCCGCCGGCATTGATCACAGTCGGCACGCGACGACCCCTCGATTTCTTCGTGAGGTTAGGGACTGGGACAGGAACAGGGAGGGACCGTGCGTTCTTGCGAGACTTTCCTACCTGAGATGACGAGCCTGGCGTCAAAGTGGAGGCAGCAATAAGAGGTGACTTCGCAGCACGCTTTGGTGCAGGCTGTGGGAGTGTCGAGCCATAGGGGTGGTACCGCGCCGAATTCCTGCCGGAAAAAGATCGAGAACGTAAGCTTCGCGTGTTCTTTGACGTTGTTCGCATGTGGGGTACGAAGTCGCCGTCTCCATCGTCATCCTCTACTTCTTCCGCCCCGTAATCATCGTCGTTGTCGTCAAGGCCAACTTCGTCAACACCGTCTGCGTCTTCTTCGTCATCCAAACTGAAATCATTGTCTCTTTCGACAAGAAAAGTCTCACCAAGCTGTTGTACGAAGCCCTGGGGCATGAAGTGACGCTTCCCTGAACTATGTCCATCATTGGAGCTGGACCCATGGTGATTAAAAGCTGCAATGTCCGGCTCGCCTTCAGCATCCTCATCCTCAGGTTCCGGTAGATCCGTGAACCCCATCACGGGTGATACCTCCGCAGGTCGCACAGTTCTCTGCTCCTGCAAACCCTGTGTTTGAACTTTCAAAGCCTGTCGTTGCTGTTCCTGTTCCTGACACGTGCGCTCACAATCGCTGACGATAGATGATCCAAGATATGCTTGTCTCGGAACAGGTGCAGGCAGCACAGGCATGCTCATCGATGACAACGGATTACTTTGGCTCGGCATATAGCGCATTACTAGTTCTGAAATGCCAGTGTTGTGCTGCCCAATTGGGGATGGACCTGATGCTGAGGATGTCAGGTGTAATGGACCAGATATCTGACGAGTACGCACCTGTCTCGAAAAGACCATCATAAACCGCCAAGCCGTTGGGCGAGTTGGAAATATCAGCTGGCGGGCTATAAGGAGCTACAAGGTCGGGAATGCATTCCACTTTGATGTTCTGACGAGGCTGCTGGTAACAGGCATGCAAAGCTGGAGGGACCGAAGCCGGGAAACCGTGATAAGAGCTTGTGGCCGCCTGCGGCTGGTATTCAGCGTCAAAATCCTGTGGGTAAGAGTGTGCATCGCTCCCCGCAGTATGAGTGAGATTGGCTGCGGGGGTAGGAGGAGACCCATACAAGGAGTTGCTGTATTGCTGAGGATTCACCTCCTGGGGCTGCGGTGGAGGACACAACGGTTGGAATTTTTTCACTTCAGGTGAAAAAGGATACCCCATTGCGACTGACAAGGGCATGGGCAACGGCGCTGCGACAGGCTGCTTATACACCTCCGGGTTCTCCGCCACATACCCCGATAGGGTGAATGCCCGTGGAGCGTGCGGGAACAAGTATCCAGCGGCCACCAGGTCATCGGTCATGATGTAGGGATAATAATCATCACTAGCAACATGCGATATGTCGTTCTCCATCGAATCGATGGGAGGCTCAGAAAGCGGGCTCTCGTTGGCCGATGATGAAGAGAGTGGAGACTCGGCGGAAGCGGCCGAGCTGTCAGACGGGTATGGGTTATAGTCTGGTAGTGGCTGGGGAAGTGGCGACTGCTGTGCAAGAGAGTAATATGAATTGAAACGAATAGAGGGGGAGAAATGGCCAAGACTAGGGCTAGAACTAGAATGCGAATGTGTGCGAGCGAAATACGGGGAGCTTGACATGTTGACAGCCACCGAACGTCTAGACTGTTGTCGTGGGGCTGGCTGATGGGGGAAAGGATAAGGAGCAGAGTCGAAATAAGAGGGACGAATATTCGAGTCCATTTGCATTTTAAGGACAGAGTTGGAATACGGAAGATGCCTTGTCTGGAGTGAATATGAGCCCAGATTTATCTAGAGACACTAAAATAAGGGAAATGATTCGAGTTGGAAATTATTGGTCATACCAAGGACGACAGATCACCAGGTTCGCGCACAAGGCAGCTTAGCGGTCGCGTTCAGGTACCTTAAGCGGATGTGATCGTGTGGCTGTGAATGTAATTTACAATTGAGGGGGGAAAAGATCTGAGAATGGAACAATCGCGGGGAGCGCGTTGGTCAACGGCGGGACACCGGAAAAAGGCCTAGAAAGCTGTATGGAATGCGATCGGGGCTGTGGAGCAAACTGCTGCCAGAGTGCCACTGCCCTTCAAATGAGTCACGTCGTGTTCAAAGGTCGTGCGCGTGAGTGTTCGTGAAGTTGATGATTCTGTCAGAAGCGATGGAGAACAATAAAAGTGTCAATTTCTGTCAATGAGTAGTGCAGTTTCTGAGCGGCGATGAAAGTGAAGGAGGGGACAGCCTACGAAACGAGAGCAGATGATAAACCAATGGCCAAGAATTACTGCAACCTTAGTACAGCCTTTGAAGAAACCTTGCACCGCCGAACGAACCTGGTAGTGATACGGAGTCAAGAGAACGAATTAACGAAACTCATTTGCGATCATAGAGAAGCCTTGCCTGTGTACTATTGTTGATTCTACTTTGCCGGATTGCCACTGGCAGTTCTTCGATAGGGATCTCTCGGGACCAGCTTTCCTTAATGGCTATCCTCTGGATGAGGTGCTTTTCAACTGAAAAGTATAGCCTATGGTCGCTGGTCGTAGCACGAGGCTACCGAACACTTTTCGACAATCCTTGCTTTTTTGGAGAGCTAAGGTTCACAAGCACCAGCAGGCAGCTGCCATCTTAAGCCTCAGATCTAAGGTTTGTGCGGAAACTCCGATTTAACAGCTGATCTCAAGCCGTGAACGTTCATCTACGTTATCATCATCGTAACAGTTTCGCAAATCACACGAACGTTCTACCCTTCCGGCCCTCTCAATAGCATCACCACGTCGGAGTATTCTTTATTTTGCACAGGTAGGGATCCCATGCGCTGCCTTCTATACTCACAGAGATTTCGTCAGTTTAGGTACATAGTTGTGCCTAAGCTACCTTCTTTGATCTATCTGGCGTCTACACCAGTCATTTCCCAACGCGAGGCACTCGGCTCCCTGCAGCCTGATATTTTACTCCTCCCTGCAGCATGAAACCTCTTTACGGTAGCTACTAATCAGCCCGTTACTCAAGGAAAGGCTTCCGCTCCATCCTGTCACCGCATGTCAGTCGCGCCAGGGGTGGCAAAGCGACGTAAATCAAGGATTCCTCGAGAATGTCCCTGAGAGTATCACGCACTTTCATATCTATGGATTGGAAATCCACTCCCTCAGGTCCCCACACCAACAGTGCTACTTGCCTTCTAAATTCATACTGCGTTGCCGTAGACCCTCACCATCCCTTTCCAATCACGCACTTCTTAATCACCCCAGCCACCCTGATTGCGGTGTATGTCGTTTATTTATTGGCTTCTGCGGAAAATTAGACCAGAATCTATTCATGGCACCTGACATGAGCGACTACCTCCCTGGGAATCACATTCGTATCGCACCGCATTTCGATTTTAATCGATTGTTTCATTTATGAAGAGGTTGGTTGGCAGGCGTGTGCACGCCATTGTGATCCTGGATGGAGACTTGCCAAGAATCAACAATGCCGCTCAACCTTCCTTTTTGCGGTTGATACTCGAACTTAAAGCGCCTGTTCTATCTCCATAGAGCAGGGCATCATGGAAATGCCCGCCGGACAGCTGAATTCGGCAAATCATTTTCTGACTGGCCGTTCTGGCGGGAGCGAGTGTGCACGGGACGTAAGTGAGCAAGGCCCCATCAGATAGCCATAAAATTAATTAAAAATCGAACGAGCATACACTTGATCTGAAGCGACAGTCGGTAACTTTCATTTTTAATACACCAAAGATCAGTAATAGAAGGCCCTGGCTTTGTCTGCGGATGTGATGATTCATCTACGCGGTCTAAGCACCGCAGCTGTCTAACGCTTGTCAAACATAGTCTCGTCCGATTCAACGGACTATGAGTGATGGCACTATAGTTGGGACGGAGCGCCAACGATTATTAAGCGGAAACCTGTGTGAACGGACAGGGAATTAGCATTGTCGAATGGAACTGGAATTGGAACTGGAGACCGGGCGAACCATGCTAATCCAATAGCTAGCCTTGCTGGATTTGTGCCAGTGGCAAGCACGAGTATGCCGTGCGGTGACTGATCCAAGGGTGATGTCGCAATATTCCCTGGATCCAGAAAGTAACCTAGGTGCCGATTTATTGCGAAATTGACGTGACCGTCGTCAGTGTTTACTGCGTGTCCTGACGCGTCTCAAATTCAATTACAACCAATTACAACTTGATTATCGAGATGAATTTCAAAGCAGCGAAGGCAATTCTTGGGAATCACCAAATACAGAAACCTGCTATGTTGAGTCAGCGCAAAGCGAGCGCCCGAACAGCAAATAGGCTCCCTAAACTTACCAATAGATTCCAAAACACAAAATCGCCGTATTGCCGTTAGGCAAGTCGACACGTTCTTCGGAACATTATAAAAACTTTGCGGAATAACTCGGAGGGGAGGAAATGTATAAGGTGCAGGACTTCACAATCAGTCGGCAGGTCCCGATGATGTTACTGCTTTGAGAATTGCTACATTAGCTGCTTAGCAAATGTATACATTAGTAGTGTGTGGACATAGAACATCGGAGAACATACGCAACAATTCTACCGAGTGTGCGTGCATAGCCTCGAGGAGATAACCTTATCATGAAGCGCGCATTCGAGAAAAGTGACCTGCAAGCAGGCAACGTCACTGTGGGCCTCGAGATGAGTTAATGGTTTATGGCCTCAGTGCATAGTAGCAGATGACGCTCCATCGTCCATGGGAAGGTTGACACATCCCATCAGTCGATGCCGCGGATGTGCGGAAAGCAACAGGCTGTTCATTTGTAGAGACCAAGACACGCTGTTTAGGTTGGATCCGGCCAGTGGTGCTATCATCATGGATGAGAACGTTATTAATAGCAAAAAAAAAACAAGGAGGACGGCGATTTAAAGAACCAGGGAAGTAAGCACCGGTAAGTGAACGGAAAGTGTCTCGACAATGTCGTTTCCTTGGATAACCCGTGGTGGACGCAAGTGCGGAAATTGGGAATAAATACATTGCCTGGGGATTAGGCCGCGTCAACAACACCATCAGCACACAGTACGTACATTCTTGAACATACAATCTAGGTCAAGATTATCCGAACCAAAGCTACGAACGGGGGCGTGCCAAAACGAAGCTGGTAGCCGCCACATGACGGTAAAGGCAAATTATTACTCCAGTTCGGGTGCTGCTGAGACAAAGCAGTAAATAGAAAGTGGATCTTGTGGAGGCAGTCGACAGGTGCTTCAAGTGCCCACCAGAGGTCCCGATATACAAGTTGCAGTAGAGCGGCCAAGGATGCCTATATTGGTAAATCTGGTAAAAATGGGAGCTAACAGCAAGTACCCTCCCGGTATATTAGCATGAAGATCACTGAACTGAAAGCAGAGTTTACGCAGAACGATAGTCTACTATAGACGTTAACAGCGTCGTCTGCTGCGCAACGTGGTGATCATGACGGTCCGGGCCATGATACGGGTGGTCCATGGACCACCACGGTTGAACACGTGGGTAGGGTTCGATCGTGTGAACGGGGTAGTTTGGCAAAAAAACAACGAAGGACCCCTGTCCGAAATCCCCTGCGCTAGAGTTCGCCCGCAAGGAAATTTTGTTGGTTTGAAAACACAGTTCGACGCTGTTTTATACCGTAGAAATAGTCTGTAACAGCATTGGATAAATCTTTGTCGAAGAGGTGAGCAGTCGTCGTCTCCGAAAAGCCCCTTGTTCTCATTCTCCCATCAGGCGTCGTAAAAACGATGGAAAGCCCTGAATCTCAATTCAACCAATCTCCTGGAGCTCTATCGACACCTTTACAAGACGACGACACCCTAGTAGACCTTAATCAACCTAATAATTTGGTCAGTATCTTTTTTTGCTTTATATTCCGTTATAATATTTACCAGGGTAACGCCACTCTTTACATTCCATTACAATCCCTTACAGGACTCTCTACATCTTTCGACTGATTCAAACCCAAATTCTCGAAGAGTAACGCGTTCCCAAACAACAGGTCGTCCAACTGTTCGTTGGGGAAAGCACGGCAGAGGCGACCCCCCAGATACGCCATACAGAGGATCTAGTGCTTCTCTCAAACGATCCTTCGACGCGCGGGCAGTCGACGACGAAACTGACGTCGAGGCGGATCAAGACTCAACTTACGTGCCATCGAAGCTTCTCAAGATGGAACCTACCGTGTTGATCCCGGAGTCGTCTCCCGGTTCAATGGTTGAGGATACCCCTCAGTTAAAGGAAGTCACGCCTCCATTCGAACCTAGTGGCACCCCAATACCCGGGGAATACACTTTCCTTGACGCTTCCTCTTCCTCATTTACTTCTGAGCGTCGTGGACCGAGGATACGCACGGCCCCCCCTATTCCCGTTCCGAACTTGACAAAAAAGAGTCGCGGTCGCCGCGTCCCTACCGCCGGCGACGATGCCGCAGTAGAAGGAGAAGCAGCTGAGGGACGTAAGGGACGCGTTTATGTCTGTAAAGTGGAAGACTGCGGAAAGTGCTTTAGCCGTGGAGAGCATCTCAAACGGCACATCCGATCTATCCATACACATGAAAAACGTGAGCCTCTTTGTTGCATCATCGCCTCTCCGGACTTTGTTAATAATATCCGTCACGATCAGCGTTCGACTGCCCTCACCCCACGTGCGACAAACGTTTCAATCGGAATGATAATTTACTTCAACATTTACGTGTCCACAAGGGTGACAATTCTTCTCAGACCTCCGTCGATTCTGCACATCCAGGTACCACTACAGAATCTCATCTTGATGATGGCAGTTCCTCGGTAGCGGCCCAGCGCGCCTCATCTAAGGCGAGCAGCACCCGCAGAGCAGTCCGCCCAGCACGTAAGACTAAATCGGCTGCGTCCACCCCACCAATCCATCCGGCACGTATTGCTGCTTCACGAGCGGCGAGCCGAAACGCTCCTCTGACACTTCCACGCACCTATTCCCTTCCTCCGCTCACCTCTTTAGCGTCTTCCTATCACAACCCCGCTGCCGCAGGCTTCATGAACAATACCAACATCGCGGTCTCCTCCCTCCGGACTGTCATGGGTGAGGAGGCTGAGGAGACAGATCACGAACAGGAGGAAACAGAAGTTTCTGAGGACGAGGGTCACCATCGCCAGACAACACACAGTCTCAGCGACCTCCGCTCGATGTACAACTTCCGTAACGCTTTCAGCTCAGCTCCCTTGGTGCCTAGGAAAGACATGGCACGCGGTAACAGTGTACCTGCTGATGAACACCTAGACAGCGCACCTGTCTCCGCAGGACCCGGACCGTCTTCCAGTCCTTCACCTTCATCCATGTCTCACGAAGGTCCTGACGAAGCCCGCAAGTCAACTCCGCATTCTCTGCCAACAGGGGAACTTAAATCCAACGACAACCGTTGATATTCCCGCGTCCTCGTCCAATGAATCGTCGCTGTGGATATACGTTGATTGCCTCATATGTTGATCATTCTCATCAGTCGTTGTCTTGTATGTGTCTTTCGTGTCGCCTGACTTTCATTGATGCTTTGCGTTTACAAAATCGATTTAATATTGATCTCCTATCGTGTCTTCCTTTATCCTCTTTGTCGTTAAAACTTGTCTTTGCGTTTTTGTCCGCGTTCGATTGAATCAGTTTTTGATTTCCTCTTCTATGCCCTCTGGATCCGCATACTTAGTTATCTGGTCTCTATAGCCCTAATTGCGGGTACGGTTCGCCCGCCTTGTCTTGGTCATGTTCTTTTTGCGATACCTGGATGGTTGTAGTACAAATTGTTTGGACAACGCTATAGTTTGGATACAAGATGACCAGGTAATCCATTGTGATGAGTACATTGATTGCAAGAGAATATGTGTGTGCGAGTATTGAAGCAAAGCGAGTGTCATATTGATATCGTACAGTTCCATATATATGCTTCCGATAGCGAATGATCAGATAGTGACCGTTTCAGACATGTGAATGCACTTCAAGCCCATGCAATGATATCCTGCTCCGTGGGGCCAGTGGGAACATCGGACGCGGCGAGGTTGCACTGATGGAATGCGCGGACTTGATCGGGCTTGAAAGCACCGACAACGGTGTGAAGCAAACCGCGGTTGTGGAACAAGACGAGATCGCGTTCCTTCCAATCATGCGGATACACCAACTAGGCAAAGTTATATCAGTTCATATAGAGAAAGAGCAAGCAAAAATAATACCCCGGGGGCGATACCGGGCCGTTGCATCAAGTGCAGAAGTTCGCGAACCTTCCCAAGGTCCTTGATATGTTCTCCATCGGGGTATAAAGCACCCTCACGGGAAGCGCCGGGTGGTAAGGGTTTCACGATAAGTTCTTGAGCACCGCAGGGATGCACTTGGAAGTGTAGTTCGCCTGTGACAGGGTTCTTCCAAAGCTACGTATGCTCAGCTTTCTAAAAGTCATGTCCGCGGAATGGAAATAGGACGTACAATAGGCAGCGTTTTAATTTTCGATTGCTCCCACTCTGGAAGTTCGTTCAGCGGCAATTCCAGACCTTCGTTCACGATTCCTAGACCGTCCGACTTCGCACGGGCAGGCGCCATCCAGACGTAAGGATGGGGTGCGTACCGAACAGAGGTCCGAACGGCAAAGCTCTTCAACTCAGGCGGCAGGATCTGAAACATCTTCTTTCCTGACACAAAAGCTGTGGTCCCCAAAGGCACAGATAGGGTTTCTCCAGATAGATCATCGTCATCGCTGTACCTGACAGTCTGCCTATCACCCTCAGGCACGGTGATACCATAGAGGGTAGTCGCACGAGGTGGATTGTAATCGTACAGCGCGGCATCGATGTGCCAGCGATAGAATCTGGTGAAGCCCAGGGCCTCGTTTTCGGCAGAGACACGAGTCTTGTGGAAGGATGTATGCGAGGGGTGCTTGAGAGCAGCGGATTCAAGACCCTCATGGTTGTAGACCATGCCATTGCCAATGAGTTGAACTTGAGGAACCCGAGGAATCGTCTTAAGATCTGGGTGAAGGATAGACTTCTTGGTCGACTGAGTCTTGTTGTTACCATGTCCGTATGATTCGGACTCGGGATCAAAAGCCTGTATGAACCTGAGAACTGTCTTGAAAGCCATGTCAACAAGCTCGCTTACCTTTGTTAGAGCATACTGTTGTTCCGGTGTCAGAGTAACATCTCTGAACAGCAAAATTCCATGCTGCGAAGTACATAAGTCGAGTGTATTTCAGTGGATGAAGATCCGAGACCTACAGTGTACAAAGCTGTCTCAATCTCCTTGAATTGCTCAGGAGTTAGTTCGCCAGGGCTCACGTTCTTGACTTCCCGACCAAAATCAGGGTCAAAATCAGTACGACTGGCAGTGGCGGGGAGGGTGATTGGTGCTAGCTCAATGGCCATGTTGCGTTCGAAATCAAGTATGAGATGCGAAGTCAAGTCGAACAGAAAGAGTTGATCCGGCCTTATCTTGGCTGTTGCCGGCCCGAACTGGTGCCGACGCCCGTGTATTAGGTCCTAATAGTAGGGACGAATGCATATATTCTGTCAAAATCTGCGGGAAACTTGCAAAAGGGCGGTCAAGGATTTCAAGACAAATTAGATTCTTCTCATTGACGATAAATTAGAAAGGTGCGTCATAGCTGGGTCACAGCCGCGTCACGACCGCGTCACGGCAGGCGGACCGTGTCAGTACTCTCGTTAAGAACTATAATATCTATCTGCCCCAGGCCTAGGCAAGTATAAAGTAAGCTAATATTCGGTTGCCCACGTATGTGGCTTGGTTCACCTTTGTCACTCGCAGCCATGGAAGAACCAGGAGTCAGACAGAGGAAGAAAGCAGCTACTGGGTCGTCGTATGGTCACGAGGTGCGCACTTGACAGTTGCTTTGGTCACTGGTACGCTAATGACTGCAGACGGACGATGAAGCAAAGTCTGGCTCAGCACTTCCAAAAATATATGTGTTACTAGCCGCTGTGTTGGTTTTGGCACTTTACAATGTCTGTATAAAATACTTTCAAAGTTGGCGAATTCTACTTACCCATTGCTAGTTTCTAGCTCTGGTAAAGAGACCGCTCAACCAGTTCCTCGGTACACCTACCAGACATCTACCAGGAGTTCGAACAAATTATGTCCCCACCTTCACAGCGGACGAGGCAAAACAAGACGCAGTGGTAGAGGCCTTTAAAGTACGGAAACGTGTATTTGCTCAGCCTGCCGTGGACTGACACCTCACCTCAGCATGCGTGGTTTGCATACGGTAATGCAAAGTCCATATAGTTATGGGCCAAATGATTGATTTCAGTAGAAAGAGACGCTATGGGTGACGACGAGTACCACCCAATCTCGCACGCTGGCTCAAATCTAACCAAAGCGGGGGGTATTGGGTATACTGTGGCAGACTCTATCGACACGATGATTATCATGGGGCTGGAGGATGAGTATCAGCGTGCAAGGGCATGGGTGGCAGACAAGCTCTCATTTGAACGGGATGGTAATTTCAACACTTTCGAGGTAAGTAGAAACATTTTCATGGGGTAATGGCGACTTGATATGTTTTTAATCATCAGACAACAATTAGAGTCCTGGGAGGCTTACTGTCTGCATACCATTTGTCTGGGGAAGACCCCGTATTTCTTGAGAAGGCCGAGGAACTCGGTAGCCGCATTCTGCCCGTTTTTGAGACAGAGTCTGGTCTTCCGTTATCACTAATTAATCTGGCACTTCGAGAAGGCGTGCAAGATAACGATAATGGTGGGTATATCAGTACTGCCGAGGCTTCAACAATACAACTCGAATTCCGCTATCTGGCGTACCTTACCGATGAGGATACGTATTGGGAGAAGGCTGAAAAGGTGAGTATTTTGCTTAGGGTTCTGCGTTAGATCCTACATCGTCTCAGGTAATGGCCGTCCTGAGGGCAAGCGCAACGCCAAGCGGGCTAGCCTCCATCTTTGTTGAGTACGTCTTGAATTCATAAAATTGCCAAGCATACAGCTTATATGCCAGCCCGAAAATGGGTCGCTACCAAACTTCATCGATTCGGATCGGGTCTCGTGGGGATTCTTACTACGAATATCTACTGTGAGTAGACATAATGTTAACTTTAACGTTGCTCTTATTTTTGAGTTACAGGAAACAATACTTACAAACTGTAAGCATAATATGCAGGAAAATTTGATGTTGGAAAGTCTGATAATTCCCTCAGAACCAAACGGAGCTTGTATATCGCGAGGTATATTTGACGGTTTGATTCAAACATCATTCATTATACGTTTTAGATGTACGCCACAGCGATGACAGGTATCCACACACACCTGGTAAAGCGGGGGCTTTCCAGCCAGCTTCTCTACATTGCTGAGCTTAACCCGGAGCGGAACCAAAATGGGGAAATGTTGGCTGTATCTTGTTCTTCAATGATAGATGCCCTAATGTGATCAATAGTGGATGGCGTTTAACACCCAAGCAAGACCATCTCGTGTGCTTCCTTGGCGGTTCCCTTATGCTTGGTGCCACAACGTCCGGTGCCCTTGTTCACAATGTCTCAATTCCACCCCGAACCGACGAGCTCACCGAACAAGGCGAACGTGATTGGCTTACAGGAGTGGAACTCATTAAGACTTGTATGGCCACATATGACACCCAAACGTATGTTTCGATGTGCCTCAGTAGTGTTTACCTGTGCACTGAACATGACGATCAGCGGCCTGGCGCCTGAAATTGCGCACTTCCGTATTCTGGGCGATGGGGTAGATGATTCAGTGGCTCCTGCGGACTGGTATATCAAAGGCGCGCGGTATGTTGGCTCACTTGTCACATCGAGTCGCACGCTGACTTGCTTGTGAATTACCAGCCCAAACGCCCCTCCTCCTTTTGATGCCCGGTACATCCTCCGGTATGTTTGGTTCTGTTCTGTCGTTCACTCATGAGGGATTCAACTTGTACTGTAGCCCGGAAACTGTCGAATCCATCTTCATTGCCTTCAGGCTCACCGGTGATCCCAAGTATCGCGATTACGGCTGGGCGATATTTCAGGCCATCGAAAAGCATTGCCGCATCCCAACAGGCGGGTACGCGAGTGTGATAAATGTGGATCAAGTTCCCGTGGAGTATGATGATAAAATGGAGACTTTCTTGATGGTGTGTGACTCCCTGCCCTTCCCACATGATCGTGGCTGACTCAGTTTTCTTTGCCAGAGCGAAACATTAAAGTATCTGTATCTACTCTTTGCGGATTCAAGTGTGCTTCCTCTCAATGGTGAGTTCCTTGTTCAATGGACAAGACGTAGCTCATGTATCACATTATTTTACAGAATATGTCTTCAACACGGAGGTAAGCCTGAAACATACATCTGTCATTCCGCATATGCTCAAATTTGGACAGGCGCATCCGTTGCCCGTATTTAATCCAACTATACGCACCGGCTTTTCGTAATTATTCGCCCTGTGCTATCGTGAGATTGTCTGAGTATAATATTATTGGCCGGCTGGTGTATCCAGCTGCCTGCAGTCGCATCGATACGTGCTTAGTCAATTTCGGCTTTACCATTTGTAGCAGCTGCATCACCGACAACCTCGGCACATTTGAAACAACGGCAGTATCCAACACCAATCAATGTATTAATCCTCAAAGTCCAAATAAACTGTCTAATCCAGTAAGTAGAATTATAGCGAGGACCAAGACGATACGACGTGGAGCTCGAAGATGTAACGTGAGTTCATAATGAATGAAGTTAGGGATGAACTAAGTCGTAACGGGTGTGGTAGTATGGTGTGGTACTGATTAAATGTCAAATACAATAGCAGGATCTAAAGCGTCAAAGCAGCAGCCTGAGCATACGATAGGCCCTTGCAAGCGGGTGATTCGGGGGCAAGAGAGATGAATTCCCAAGGCTCATTGATCTCAATGTCATGACCAAAGTCATCAAGAGCAATGACTGAACGGACAGGCGGGAGGACCTCGAAGTCAGTATCTATACACAACTTCGAGTCAGCATTGTGACGAATGAAACCTGGCAGTACGGTACCTTGTGCCTTGGATTGTTTCTTGGTCTTGAACGTCACGAAATCCGCAAGCGCCATCTTGGAGAAACCAGACTTGGTTCTCGTCACTGGTGTAACATTAACGGGGCGCCCCGATCCAGCGAGTATACGAGAGTCAGGCTCATCGCCATCCCAGAGTTCCAAGCTTGCCCTCTTAGCAGCCCGGCTCGCGTGCCCTTGCTTTGGCACCGGTGCTGGTACTCCCCCAGCCGCTCTCTCCTTGCGCTCCTTCACTTGCGCGTGCTCCCGCCGCTCCTTCGTCTGGTGCCTAGCACGCTCGTAGGCACGCTGGTCCTTCGCACCGACTTCGGTGAGACGATTGTTAACCGTCTCATGCGACTGTTCTAAGGATTTCTCGGAGGATGTGGTAGACATAAAGAAAGGTTGAATGACAGTGTCTCACTTATATAGATAGGTGGAAGCGATATCCCACGGTGACGGCGGCGGCGGAAGCATTGTCAGGAGATGTTAGGATCACGGTTACTGGTTTGAAGCGGATGCATCAGTCGCTGAGATTAGCTCGCAGCCGCAACGTTTACCAAGAAGGCTGCTGACGAACGTTGTCGTGACCGAAAGCACTCCACCGAAGATGACGCGAAACAGGAAACTCCGATCGTATACGTGTCACGTGTCAATGATAAATCACTGGCTTGGGAGGCTCCTAAACTTTAAGCCTTCTATATAACGACTTGTCTTCTTATAGAGCTCGTATGTCATATATTACTATTTGTACAAGGGAACAACAAGCACGAACTCTCCTGGTCGGACATGGCCCGAAGACAGCTTGTTTTCTCAACATTGATATCTGATATCTTTCATAGTTGACCCTCTGCATGATGTTGCAGTCGCAGTCTCTTTGCCTGATCCTCATATTACAGTGACTGACACCGAACAAGATCGCCATATCCTTTTAGTCGAGTTTCTGCTGGCTTCATTCCTGAACGTCTGCATGCAGACACTGTAAATGCACATTGAACCCGGGCCTGGCGGCTATTACCGGGCAAGGGTCAAGGAAAAATCCTAAAACCTGTGATGAACGTATATTTGTCTACTATCACGCATGGGGGAGGATGTCGGACCTGTGCCTGACACCTTGTTCGATTGGAGGAATCCAGCATACGCGAAAAGTTTAAGCCCCCATGACTCGGAGGGTTCTTGCTGCTACTCACCATAAACAGCATCCTTTACTTCAGCTTTTCATACGCCTTTTTCTGCGTGTGGCTTCCGTTTATTCTTGGAACAAGATCGATATGGGTAGGCGTCCTTCGTTGTAAATAGGGTGATGGTTTAATGTAGCTGGATGCAGGCGCAATTAATTTCTAGGTCGTTTCCCCACTCCAGACAGATGTTGACTCAGAATCGACAGACTGCAATTTTGGCTGCACATGCAGTGATAAATATTACGATGTAGCGACGATACCAGCAGTAGATGTTTTAGGTAACTATATGTACCATAACTTATGTAAATACGCCCTCTTCTTGAGATGAGCTATAGTCAAGTGAAGTACAGAAGGTTAGCAATGTACCCTCCTAATAATTATGCTGGGAAATAGGAATAGAAAAGAGAGTGAAGACTGGTGCACGCAATAACCGAAACGACAGACGATTAAAATATATGTGCAATTAAGGAGAGGCCGCGTCGGCCTGGGGGAGTTCAATGGACTTCTCCTCAGTACTATCGGAACTCAGTTCTTCAGCCCGTAAATTTTGTTGTTGATCCTGTTGCGCGAGGTCTGGTTGGCCGTGTCTGTCACCAGCGGCGCTGGGTTGGCGTGTACCTATACCGTTGCCAAATGCCGTCCAGTCCATGAAGTCACGCCGTACTTCGATGTAGTCATTCGCAAATTCACCGATCTGGGCTATCATTAGACTAGTAGAACATCAAGAGTATGACAGGGCTTACCTCGACTTCGTCAAGACCGAGTTTCTCACCCTCAGCCGTTGTGCGTAAGTGAAGGCCAGGGATAGCGTTGACGCACTTGGCAATGAGAGCAGTAACAACGAATGAGTATGAACACGTCGCGCAAATATAGGCGACTTGGATGTAAAGCTGTTTCCAGTTGTGGTCGACCCAGCCACCAGGGACATTTGTATTGACGCCATCCAGGGCGATAATAGAACGGGAAGCGAAAAATCCATTCATCAAGAGACCCAATATCCCGCCGACAGCGTGCTCAGCAAAAAGATCGAGTGCATCATCCATACGAAGAAGAAATTTAACTCAGGGTTGTGTCAATAAGTGCACTCCCAAGTAATACAATAGTCTTACCTTTAGTTGCGTAATTACACACAGCGCCAGTGATTATGCCCATGATTACTGCTGCCCATGGATGGATGAATCCTGAAGCAGGCGTGGCTGCTACGAGACCAGCAATGGTTCCAGAGCAGAACCCGACCATAGTATATTTGCGCTCCAGGCGGTAGTCGAGGAGGCACCAGACGATACCGCCACACGCAGCAGCAAGCATTGAGTTCCACACCGCCATGACGGCGCGCAAATTCGCCCCAAAAGCGCTACCACCATTGAAACCTAGCCATCCAAACCAGAGTATGAATGTACCCAGATTAACCATGGAGACATTGTGCGGTCTGAAGTTCAGGAGTTCCTCCTTCTGCCTGCGGCCAAGCACCCAGGCATAGGCAAGTCCTCCGACCCCGCTTCCGATCTCCACGGGACCTCCACCTTTTAGATGAAAAGGATGTCAGAGAATACATACAGCAGTAAAGAAAATTAATTAACCTGCATAATCGAGAACGCCGTATTTGAAGGCCCATCCGTTTATATTCCACGGCCAACAAGCGAGAGGGCAATAAACCAAGGTCATCCACAAAAACGTAATAACCATAGCAGGAAGGACCCGTCCGCGCTCAGCGATTCCTCCCACCAGTATTCCTACTGTGACGCATGCGAATTCCATCTGGTAGAATGCGTATAACAGGTCAGGAATTAGTGGGGAACCTGGTGACGGGTCACCAAGGACATCCATCAGGCCAAAGTGGGCAAGGTTGCCTATGAATCCATTGGTGGCAGTTGGCGAAAACGCCAAGGAGTAACCCCAGAAGTACCACTGAAAAATACAGACTGCGTTGCTGGCAGTAACTGCCCAGATAAGGGTCAAAGCGGACTTTCTTCTCGCCAATCCGGAATATAGAAAAGCTGATATAACACCATAAGTGAGCAGATGGGAAATCCGGTGTGAGAGAGATTTGCGAACCGAGACCTGGTATCATAAAAGATACCATGGCACCCGCCACGATTATGAAGGAGATATCTCCACGATCGAACCTGTGGTATGCAATGAGAATGCTACAGCGGCAGAAATGCTATTGGCTCACTGGGTGGTATCTCCTGTTGCGCAAGATAATCAGCATCAATATTGTGCCTCGGTCACTATGACGGTTGTGGGACTCACTCTTCGAAATAGCATTCAACACTTCTAAGATGCTCTCTCTGAGAACCATCACGTCGAATATAGTCTGGCAAGGAGATACGCCTAGTGCTGACTATTCAGAAAGTCACGTCTGTCCAACTAATAAACCAAGTTGCTGCGCGCTGGAGCTTTAACTTCGGGGCTTGACATGTTGAAAAGTTGAATGAAATTTCATTGGTCGGATAACGAACGACGCCAAGCTTAGATAAGAAGAAGGAGTGCCGCTCCTTGCACTGCACTCTTGAGTTACGGCGCATATGTGACACCTGCGGTCTGCCTCCTCCTGACATTTACATCCGCTAAAGACCCGCCGGGAGTCTGGGCAGCCGCAAAGGTGAGTCCCTAGATTTTAAATCTAGGTTACTTATTTTCTATGATGTTATTTTATCTCACGTGATTACAGTATCAGTATTCATATTAGGTAACTGACAGATTATCTTCCATCCAACATGACCTTGCTGAGTGCTCCGCGAGGTGATATACACACACGACTCGAATCGATCGATTTCTTTCAGTGATCACGATCAAGCCTTACATCGCACTCGTTCATGGAAGCTCAGACTCCATGTCTACGTCTCCTAGCTGCTGGCTCCAACGCTCGCGGTCAGCTAGCCAATGGTTCTGATGACGATTCACATACTTTCAAAGAGTGCCGCTTCATAAGCTGCATAGAGGGCACGCTTCCCCCCGGCGCGCTTGGCATCTTGCAGCTTGCGACTGGAGCAAACCACACTCTTGCATTGTTGGAGTTTGGTGACGGCCGAAGGGAGCTTTGGGGGTGCGGAGACGGACGCAAAGGGCAGCTGGGTCCAGAATACGTGGAACAGTTGTCAGAATTTACGCCGATCAGCATGCCCTTGCACAAAACTTATACTTCCCAAGGATATACCTGTTGTCTTATCGCTGTAGCTTGGGAGACATCATATCTTGTTTTGAAATCACCTTCCCGACCAGACGTGGTCATCGCGATGGGTTCAAATGACTTTGGGGTACTCGGCGTGGGCACAAAACAAGCTACGGCAACTCCAGCAGTCGTTTCGTTTAATCACCTCACTATCGAGGGACGCTCTATCGATCCCAGTGAGCTCGTTATCGAGTCCATTGCTGCAGGACCTCGTCACGTCGTACTTAATGTGCGAGCCGTTCTCAGTAATGAGCATATGCTCATCGGCTGGGGTTTGGCCAGACATGGCCAACTAGGGGACACGAAGATCGTGAACTATAACCGCCCTCATATCGTTTCCCTCGATATATCTCCAGATCCGGTGCAAACATATTCTCTCGGTCTCCAACACACCGTCGTCTGCCCACCAATCAGGGCGGACAACAGCTCTTGGATCTAACAAGAAAGGACAACTCCATAGTATGGATTCTTGGGGGCGTGTTCGACAGGTTGGGTGCACGTGGAATGGGACATATCTTCTCAGAGACGACGACGAAAATACCCTTCTATCGACGGGAAGTAATGCCCATGGTCAACTAGGTCGGAAGTCGCAAGTCGAGGAGAACAGGGTTACCGTTGGGCCTGTCAAATTTACTGTTATCCCACGATGGCAAATTGCCTTCACTGAAATCCTTTGCTTGTGGCAGCGAACATGTGATAGCAGCGATCTCTCCATCTGGCTCGTCGGACATAGAAGTTTGGGGTTGGGGGTGGAACGAGCACGGTAACTTGGGGCTGGATCATACAGGATGATGTGCCGAAGCCCATCAAGATCTGGCCAGCAGAAGGACACACGCTGGACGGAAGAATTGCTCGAGTATGGGCTGGAAATGGGACCAGTTGGATATTGTTACAAACATAATATACAGCTCTGTGCTGAAATGCGACGTATGCGGAACAAAGAGGATAGCCAACTATTGAAGATACAGGGCAGGGCAAGGACAGAGGTCGCTAATCATCCAAGAGGTCCATGTCGTTGTGAATTTGCCGGACAGTGGTTTCCTTCGAAGCAGCGAGCTGTAACCATATATAAGCGTCTCCTATAATCAGTAGAGGACCTCGTAGAGTTTGATACCCTTCCTATCAATAACTTGATGCAGAGTGTTAGCTTGCAGGATACAATAGAGGTCAGAACATGGGGGCCAGACCTGAGTAGCATCCTTGGCTTCATTATAACGATGCAACAGGTTTATGTGTCTTGATACAATAGCCTCTGCACTCTCGTCCTCACTGTAGATTAACTCAAGGGGTCAGTGCATTCCACCGGAGTCGATTATCTGCTCCAACCCTATCCTCTTCTGTGGGACATCAATTTCTGCTTGAAGTTTATCGATGTATTCTTTTTGTTTCTATAGATAAATTTAAACACGCTTTTGTATGACTTGAAATCTGACATACCTTGGCAGACGTCACGGCATGCATGATAGTCTGTTCTCCTGCAGAACGAATACATAGAACTTCGGAAGTGACGAGGCAACGCGTTGTTGACTCTTGTTTGTGCATCTGAGTTCTTCCACTTGCCGCGCTAAGCCATACCTGAATGAAATTGTTGTAATGCTGACGCGCAGGTTGGGAATCATGCAAATTATTTCTGCAGAACCACCCGTTCATTTTGAAGACACGCACGACACACGAGACTAGTGCTCATAATGAACCTTCATATTCCACATCGGCTCGCCCTGCAGCCACCCAATCTTTGCATGCACACACTCCAGCGAGTCCATGCCCGTATGCGCGTTCACAAGGCCTGGAGTGCCCTCCTGAACACCCTTGCGCAAGTACTCATCGTGCATCTGCGTCGCCGGCCAAATCCGTTTTGTTACAGCCTCAACGGTAGCCAGCACATCGTTTCCGATGAACGCCTGAAATCCAGCACGCATCTTCGTTGTTACGGCTGTTGGTTCCAATGCATACAGTACTGGAGGCTCAAGCATCTCATTGCTTGATACAATTGGCGTGCGCGTCCAACCTGGGTGAACATTCACGGACTGTATGACCACTCAGCGGTCTGCGACTGTCATCCCTTCAATTACTCACACGAATGTTCCAAGCAGGAAGGACTTCTTGTGCCAGGACCTCAGTGAACGGATCCAAGGCTAGCGGTGGTGAGTCGAAGTCACAGAATGTGCCATAAATAGCACAACCAATTCATCTGCTTTTCTACAAACACCAAATGCCTCAGCAACGCTTAATCATACAGCATCAACACACTCACGTGGTATTGGAGAACCTGACCAACGGGACTGCGGTGGTCGCTGCCATGCTCGATACTTGGATGAGCACCCCTCATAACCCTTCTGGTTTTTTTCTCTAAAGGATCTAACTGCCTCAAAGCTTACCATTACCGCGCCCCAGAAATTGATATCCGTTAGTTCCCTGGCACGGTCCAACGACATCCCCTAAAAACCGCCTGCGCTGCGTTGTTATATACGACCTCGACGTGCCCAAAGGCAACCTTGGCCTGTGCAAAGACAGATTTTACCTGCGCTTCGTTCGTCACATCCACGGGAGTACTAGGAACTGAGTGCGCGGATATTTGGCCGCGAGGCCATCAAGGACGGAGGGCTTGCGCAGAGTTGCGATGGCAATCTCGCCGTTACGCAGGACCTCTTCGACCCTGCCAAACCTGGAGGAAGAACCGGTAACTATGCTCAGTCAGTGACCCGCACAGTGAGGAGTTACATGCACCAACTCACTCAACCAAACTCGAGGAGTGGATCGTGCCATACCTATTTTGCTTGTTTGCTCGTTGAGAGCACGTAAAGTATTATATAGCACAAGTGTTTCAGGTTTGTGACACTAATTTTGTCACTCGATTTGCCGGACACGAGGGGCAAAGACATCACAGATGAATGTCGTCCGAGCCTTTCGACGCTATTCATCCCACGGTCCTAAAGGTTCGCATGCCTGTATCGTTCATGTGATGGTGCCCTGGTGACGCCAGTACCAAGCTAGCCTGTACATAGTCGATAATCGCTTGCCAAGGCCATGGATCATGTTGGGTAAAGTGAAGCAGAGCTACATGTGGGTAGTCTGCAATTCAAACTTCGCAAATTCATGCTACTGCCAAGGAATATTTGAGTCGATATACAGTATGGCCTTGTACCTCCATTCATATGCAAATGTGATATAACTCCGGCTTAGGTCGGGGCTGCAAGCAGACGGGGAGACAATTACCGTTGCGAATGGTCGAATAAATCCTGGCATAGAATACGGGGGTCATTGGGTGGATGGCCTCATTGCTTGTTTGAAGGCGAGAGCGTCATCATGATTGTGATGTACTTGGCTCATGGCAATCGTTAATATGCCGCCGGCTTTAATCAGAAGAAGTGTCAACACACCGGTAACTTCAATTTGAAGAGGCCAAGGCAAATGAGGCATTAATCTCTAGTCCATGGTTGTCAGCTGGTTCCTGTGCCTCTATGGTCCTAATCTTCACTGTGCTTACAAGTTTATTTCGTGTTGTCACAAGATGATCAGTTGCGATCAAAAAAAGCCGTTGAATTTTGACATACCATTGCATGCGTACAGACATATAGTCTACCGAGATGTCAACTCAATCTATCGGTATGAAATCGATTCTCCTTGGCGAGTGTTAAATAACATATTTGTGTCATGAGTGTTATATAGAGAATAAAGACGAGTGTTAAAGACCAAATTGGATTTGATTCTGAACGCGGTCACGTGCCGCTGGCTACACCATCCACAACGCCCTCACATTTTGAAGTAAGACTCAGAGAAGCAAACTTGCTTGATCACACCGTCCTCCGTCGAGCGCCTCGAGTCTTTCATGGACAAACTCCCTTGTGGATAAATCTCGCTCTGAAGCTACCCATGGATCTCATCATAAGAACGAACACAACCGGAAGCAGAAGTTTTGCGAGGACGTAGTCGAACCTCTGTAGGTGTTGCCCTCGCACGCATTCATAACAAGACCCATTTTAGGTTCAAATCAAAGGTCGCAGAGCAATATATATCTACCCACTTCCACTCTTAACTCTTTCTTAAATTTTCCTTCTCTGTCAAACTCCCTTTTACCTGATCCAACTTGTGCATGCACAGTTGACAAATCAGCATGTCGCCTGCGTGGAAGGGGAAAGATCGGTCGACGACTACGATATCGCAGACAGACACACGCGCCTGGTGCACCCGCTAAGGGTGACTGGTGATGCCGATCTGTTTGTTCGATAAGTTCACCTCTTTTGACGTGTCTTAACGGTTTTCATGGACAGGAGGTTTTCTGGGTGCTTTGTCAGTCTTCGATTATCACCTCAAATCCATATCACTAGATCCATCAACACACCCAAATTCGTTGATCTGTGCTTCCGCGTTGATATTTAGTTCACTGGCTAGTATACATTATCGACGTGCTTTCTGAGTGTATCAGTAGCCTGCCTATGAGAGGGTCCTGCCATGACCTGTTGACAGCCACTTTTTTATGTCTTGCCAATCCGCTCTATCACGCCTCCTTAATAAGGTCTACACCTGTGTTTTCATAACCATTAGGCGGACATTAGGATCTGATGGCGTGGGTCGAGATCGTGACCGAAAATGATTATCACTGCTCACATTCTGTTGCAGTCTGTCGCTTGTAGGTTTTCATTCGGATCTCATCTTGATGCGGGGCCTGAGGTTTACCCACAGATTTAAATATAGCTCCTCATATCTCATTGCTTACCATACAACCCCACTCTTGAGTTGTTGACTCTGCTAGCAAACCATGTTGACACTCACCGATGTTACTTGGTTGAACATATGCCTTGTTGGTGTTGGGGTTTATGTGGCAAAGCAGGTGCTCATCAAGAAGAATCCTGCACCATACCCACCTGGTCCCGCAGGCTGGCCTCTCGTTGGTAACGTTTCAGACATGCCTCGCATCAAGCCCTGCCTCAGATTTACCGAGTGGGGCAAGAAGTATGGTGAGCGCCTCCCATTTTTCAAAAACCATACTTATTTAAAAGTCATTTCTGGAGGTGATATCACGCATGTCCAGGTTCTAGGTCAACACATCATTGTGCTGAACTCTGTCAAGACTGCAATGGAAATGCTGGACAGTAAAAGCGCTATATATTCCGACCGTCCTGTTTTTCCTATGGGTGGCGAACTTGTTGGCTTCAAAGATGCCTTACCTTTCCTCCCTTATGGTGACCGTTTTCGCCGGTACCGCAAGAACCTCCACCGTGCCATTGGCAGCCGTGCCGCCGTGGACGAATACAGGCAGATTGGGGAGATTGAAACTCGCCGATTCTTGAGGCGTGTGCTTGCGAAACCCAATCAACTGCAGGAGCATGTTCGACAGTATGTATTATTTATCTTTGCATTGACGTGATATTAAATTTTTATTGTAGCACTACTGGCGCTGTCATTCTGCGCATCTCTTATGGTTATGAAGTGAAAGAGAACAGCGATCCCTTCGTTGGCCTTGCAGACCGCGCTATGGACGGAATCTCGCAGGCCACAACTCCCGGTGCCTTCATGGTTGATATTTTACCGTTGTGTAAGCTTTATTATTCCTGACGTTGGCTTTCAATGACCTTGATATTTTAGTGGCAAAAGTCCCCGCGTGGTTCCCTGGTGCTGGCTTTCAGCGCATAGCACGTGAATGGCGTGAGACCCTCGAAGAGATGGTTTCTGCGCCCCACAAGTTGGTCAAGGATCAGATGGTGACCATTTCGCCATTTTGCGATCATGCGTTGATGTTTGACTTTTTCAGGCCGCTGGCATTGCCCCTATATCTTTCACCTCGAATCTTTTGGAAGACTGTGCTGTGTCTGCAGAAGAGGATCACATCGTGAAATGGTCCGCTTTTTCTCTATATGGCGGTGGTACCGACACGGTTGGTCCCTCCCCACACATTCGTAGCCATCATCTTCTGAAAGTACTACACTTATTTTCTCAGACCGTTTCTGCAATATATTCCTTTTTTCTGGCTATGACACTTTTCCCCGATTTGCAGAAGAAAGCTCAGGCTGAAATAGACGCCGTAGTCGGCCCTGATCGTCTTCCCTCCTTCGCCGACCGTGACTCTCTCCCCTATATCGAGGCACTTGTTAAAGAAGTCCTCCGGTGGAATGTTGTTTCTCCTACCGGTATGTGAATTTCGTTTATGACATCATTGAGTTGACGAAGGGAATCTCGATGACAGGTTTCCCCCACCGTGCGACTGAGGACGATGACCATGACGGGTATTATATCCCAAAAGGCTCCATGGTATTGCCTAACATTTGGTCAGTACTCCCCCGTTTCTGTATTCGATTTATGAATGGAATTTAAGACTTTTAATTGCGATAGGTTCATGCTCAACGACCAACGGATATATGCTAATCCATCGCAATTCAACCCTGAACGCTTCTTGACTAATGATGGAAAGGAACCTGAGATAGATCCTCGCACGATTTGCTTCGGCTTTGGTAGACGGTAAGCATGCAGTTGAGTTTGAGCAGAATGGCTAACTTTCTGCTCCGCAGTATTTGCCCAGGTATGCCTAACTCACGGAAGACAAAAACTTATCTGAGCCGCTTACTTTTAATTGGGCAGGCCTCCACCTCGCTGATGCATCCATCTGGATATCTACTGCCATGTCATTGGCCGTGTTTGATATTTCCAAGGTTGTCGAGAATGGTGTTGAGATCATCCCTGAGTTTGAACCGTCATTAGGTAGCATCAGGTATGTCGTATATCTTGTCACCTCCGGTGCTGGTCTGGATAGACACACTTCCAGTCACCCCAAACCCTTCAAGTGCTCTATTAAGCCTCGCTCTGCAACAGCCCTTGGACTCATTCGGCAAGATGCTAACTACTAAGCGCGTTGGTGAAACTAGACAAATTGATAACACGTTAGTTACAACCAGAAAATTTACAAGATCATCGATGCCCATCGCTATGTCGCCTGGGGAGTTCGCACATGTGCGGAACCAACCGTTCATTTTGTAGATGTACGCAAGACTAACATTGAACTTTGTACTCCACATCAGCTCACCCTGTAGCCACCCAATCTTTGCATGCACACGCTCCAGCGAATCCATGCCCTCTTACATACCCTCGCATAGGTCCTTATTGTCCGTCCGCGTCACTGGCCAGATGTGCTTTAAAATCACAGCCTCAATTTATGTCAGCCAGCGCATCGATGAACATATCCACCCTCATGAAACCTCGTTACAGTTGTCAGTTCCGATGCATGCAATGCTGGCGGCGAGCATCTCATTGAATGCGTTGCCGAATAAGCGTGACTAACATGTTTCATTTATGTCAAGTGGCACTATCGATATCGTCAATGACCAACCAAGTTGCAAAATGCGTTTGTGGAGGATATGCCTGATATCTTCCTTATCTCTGAGCCTCCGAGTTCTCTCCCAGCTACGCGGCATCGACGGACTTCGCCAAAGGTACACGTCGATCCATATTGTATTATTACTTTTACCACCCCTCAATTGTATACGCGTACAGTGTGGAAGCCGTCATAGTCGCCTGCCGTTCGCAGATAACTCATGTAGCGGTTTTTCATTAGATAATCAAGTATTGCCCGAGCTGCATTCACGCCTCTGGTTTTGACAGTGATAGTGAGAACATGCGGGTGAGCATACTGTGGTATGGCAATGCAATAAAACTAAAAATGTGGAACAAACCTGGTCCAATCTACGGTATCGTATACGCCAGGAGGTAGTGATCGCAAGCTCAGCATCATAAGGATGATTAGTGTAATGCGTGCAGCAATATATATGAGAGAGCTGATGATTGCAATGATTATCATGATGAGCCCATGACCGGAATCCATGTCGACCAACCACATGGAATACCCAATATTAATAAAAAGAAATACTGGGACGCATGCTGTCCTAAGGGATGCCGCACGCCACTGCTCAGTGTGGTTCTGAAACGAGTAATTCCAGCACAGACTGTTGAAGTCCGAACGATCCGAAGAGAAAGAGAGTGAGGAAGCCGAAGGATCCGACATGATAGGTACGAGCGGGAGAGAGAGGTCCGAGCGCATGAGCCAGACGGGCCAATAGGCTGCGCCCAAATGACATCGGCTTGCGCCCTGCAATATACATATGTCAGAAAACCTCACCTTTGCGTTCCTTACTTACCTTGCTATAAAACCAAGTGCCCATCAGACGCGCACATCTCAGTTCTAGTTGAAACTGAGATGTGAGTACTTGGAAACATGTATGTCAGCATTTGCTGACCAAAACCGTAGCGTACCTTTGTGTTCTAGGTACTATACACGTTAATATGAGTTCTAGTTGAAATTGAGATCGTACCTTTGTGTTCTAGCTCCCTCTCCCGTCGTTCGCTCGCCTGTTCTCGCAACACAGACAATGTATGGCTCCAAACACCATCCCACTGAAACATCCAAGGAAAAGTGTGGTCATATTGTGATACTCACCGTAGCCACCCAGAGATGGAATACGACGAGAACGGGCAGCACGGGGGGAAACGTATGCGTCGATGCCCATAAGACTGACAAAAGGATCGGCCAGATAAAAGAAATAGGGAAGACAGCATACACCGGAGTCTTCTGATTCGGCCTTCCTAGAATGCGAGCGAATGAGAACGATCTCATGCAGAATATTGACGACGTACTCGTAGGTTAAGTCACTTGGCGGAGATGCAGTTGCCTTCCAATGAAGAACGGAAGGACGTCGTACATCCTTAGGTTTCTTCCACCACAAGAAATAGGCAATGCATGTTAGAGCAGCTACAGCTAGGGTGTCGATTTCAAGCAAGGAAGGTTCTGAACGTAACGTGCGACAAGCTGAGCGACAAACCACACCAGCTGAAGAATGGCGATGCCTTTTGATAGTCCATCTCCCTTGCTTCGATCTTCTATATCTGCCTCTGTAATAACAGGCATGTCCACGTGTCCCTCACGAACAAAGCGCAGAAGTTCATGGGGTGTAAGAGTGGCTTGCGGCTTGCCATCGACGTAAAGCATGAATCCACCCATCCACGCGAAGAACCCATTTGTCACCGTCCATACTGTGAAAGAAACCATAGCACGTTAGTCCCTGCCTGATCGGATAGTCCAGGCATGTACTTAACCTGTAAAATCTGCAGGTTTGGGAGCGCTGGGATTTCCACTTGATTGTTCAATTTCACCAAGTGATTTAACCGTGGTCTCTGATATAACTCGATGATCGCCTTGAGTCGTAGCATATTGTGCACCAATTTCATCGTTGAAGTCCTTTGCAGCTGCACGAGCGCTGAAAAACTGCCGCGTGGCCCAGGTGACCATGAGCTCCGGGGCGATCAACGCCATGACAATGGTGAATAAACGACGAGAGGTAATAGCAAATGCCTTCTCCTCCATGCCTGGAACATTCGTATGGATGGCAGTCCATGTGCACGCAAATAAAGTTATCCCACAGCTCCAGATAATGTCCCACAAGGTTCTGGTGTTGCAGGACGGACAGTCGCTGGCGTTGAGGGTATGGACACTGGTACCATTGAGACTTGGTAGTGAAGCGCAAACAAATCCAATGTATACCAAGGTTGTGTAGGGTAGGAGGGTCATGGTGAAGTTGAGATTATACGCTTGTCAATCCCATTCTATTTAAGGGCTCGGGCTCGTGTATTGATGCACGCATGCCATAGCGTGATACACCAGATTCAAGCGCTAACAATTATGCTCCGAGGCCACCATGACCACTTGGAATGGCAGATATAATCTGGATCTATAATGTGGTTGTAAACGTTCAATGTGGATCCAGAAGCCTGGCAGTGAGACATGAGGCATACATTCATTTGGACTGCTAGCGCTAGCGCTTGGGCTTAGATCGTATTGTCGTAATTCCCACTGCTAGGAGTCTTCTAGTGCACTATTTTTAAGTTTCCCTGCAACCGATTCAAAATATGAAAATGCAGTGACGATGCATGTATCGTTCTGGGCCCGAAGTTCCTGTCTTGTTGCGATCAATACCAATGATCTTGCGCAAACCGGCTATTGGGAAGTTCGTCGTGTAATCAAGAAGGAACGACCTTCTTCCTTCGATATGGTCCGGCTAGGGGGAGACTAGTGAGGTGCCATCCTCGCACTTTGTGCCTTGCGTTCTTGTGATGCTGTCAATACTTTGAAGATACTAGAACACGCACTCATTCCCACTGGCATGATCCTAGGATAGGCTGGAACACAACTTGTGAGCCGTTCTGCGACCAGGACAATGCGCATCCACGGAGCCTGATAGTGACACATCAATAATCCAGCATTTTGTGCAAACCTGCACACGACGCCTAGTTTTCATATACAAAGTGAAGTTTGAGATCTGCTGAATCAATGAGGTGGTCATGTGCTCAATTGCTGCGGGGAGCCAAGTATGACTTTCGTGTTGCTTCGAAGAGACGCGCCGACCTTGACAATTTTGCATTGCATAGTCAGGAGACGACATGGTCACCCGGATCCATGTGTTTCTCGTCACGATCGAATCGGCGATCATCTTCAAGGAGTGCGGGAGCATGCGAGTCTTACGGGAAATTACTGTGGCACCGCGAGCACTTGAGGTTTACGAGGATCTGCACACTCTTGTATAGTGCAGCACCCGAACGAACATTCCCGAGCATGATAAATGTTCCAAGAGCACCACCATAATGTTCTTGCGTTCCTTGACTTTCTCGATTTCGATACGTTCAAGGGGTCAAGTGATGGTGAGATGCCGTCGGATTGGACGTGTTAGAGGGCAGTGACTGCGCATATGGCGACCAGATGGGAAGCATGGATCCCTGAGACCTGGTGAGAGATAGAAAATGGCATGATGATCTTCTACAGCTTCTGAGTGCAACATACAATTTACGACTAGCGCCAAGTGTGTTATCACCGCATGTTTTTCCAGTTGCACCGTCGTGCGCTCAGCAACCAGCATCCCACTGAATGAGTCCAAGGGCTGTTGCAGAACGAAGCTTAATTGGACACCTGAAGTTTTGGGGTGGCTGGGAGGGTGTCTATCCAGACTCAGGCATGATCTCAACTGCCAGGAGGGCCCCGGCTGGGCACAGCAAGGGTGTGGATGATTCACAAGATAGGGTACACTGCAGAGTGTAGGTCCTGGGTCCTGTATACGTACATGGGAGCGTTGTCGGTGTAAGAGAACGTACCAAAACAGGGATGTCAAGGAGAAGAAGAGAAGAGAAGTTAGACATTCGAATAGAAGTTCATCTAGAAGCCACTAGCCATGGAATGGTAATAAACTGAGTGCGTAGAATGGCATGTTCCCCCACAATCCCCGGTAGCGTTGTATTGATGCATGGCCCTAGCGCGCATGTCCGGTACTACGACTGCAGCCTGGCCAACTTGAAGCGTTGGCGTTGTTGAAGTTATACCGTGACCGTGACCGTGACCATTGACATTGTCAGAGAAACTCGATTGCCAGTACAGAGGTGTGCTTCAGTACAGAAAAGTTGGACTTCCGTCTTAATACTATTACAATGTTACAGCCACAAGGTCGACAATTGAAGGCAAGCCTGAGTATTTCAGGCTTGGTTCGGGAGTGCATGGGAATCATGCACGAGAACTTTACTAGTACTCATAATGAACCTTCGTATTCCACATCAGCTCACCCTGCAGCCGTCCAATCTTTGCATGCACACGCTCCAGCGAGTCCATGCCCGTATGCACGTTCACAAGGCCTGGAATGCTCTCCTGAACACCCTTGCGCAAGTATTCATCGTCCATCTGCGTCACCGACCAAATGCGTTTCGTCACAACCTCAACGTCAGCCAGTGCGTCACTTATGGTGAACGCATCGAATCCAGCACGAATCTTCATTGTTACGGCTGTTGGTTCCGATGCATACGGTGCTGGAGGCTCGGGCATCTCACTTGATGGAAATTCTACAATAGGCGTGCGCGTCCAACCTGGGTGGACATTCACGAACTGTATGGCTACTCAGCGGTCTGCGACTGTCATCCATTCAGCTACTCACACGAATGTTCCAAGCGGGAAGTACTTCTTGTGCCAGGACATCGGTGAATGAATCCAGGGCTAATGGTGGTGAGTCAAAGTCACAAAGTCTGCCACAAACAACATTACCTGCTTTCCTATGAACACAAAATTCTTCAGCAACACTCGACCAAAATAGCACCATCTCACTCACGTAGTGCTATAGAACCCGATCAGTGGGACTGCGGTGGTCCCTGCCATGCTCGATACTTGGACCAGCATTCCCCCAGCGCCCTTCGGATTCACTTCTCTAAAAAATCTAACCGCCTCAAAGCTTACCATTACCGCGCCCCAGAAATTGATATCCATAAGTTTCCTGGCACGGTCCAACGACGTCCCCTCCACCTCCTGAAAAAACGCCTGCGCGGCGTTGTTATATACGACGTCGACACGCCCAAAGGCATCCTTGGCCAGTGCGAAGGCAGATTTTACCTGCGCTTCGTTCGTCACGTCCAGGGGGAGTACTAGGAGCTGAGTGCGCGGATATTTGGCTGCAAGGTCATCAAGGACGGAGGGCTTGCGCAAAGTTGCAACAGCAATCTCGCCGTTACGCAGGACCTCTTCGACCATCGCCCTGCCGAACCCAGTGGAAGACCCGGTGACTACGATCAGTCAGCGACCCGCACGGTGAGGAGTTACATGCACCAACTCACTCAACCAAACTCGAGGAGTGGATTGTGCCATGATGATTCTGCTTGTGTCACTTGTTGAGAGCCGTTCCACATGATATAGCCTGAACTCTGGAGCCTCGTGATACAACCATCCTGTCAGACTGTCATTCTAGTATCATGGTCCGTCTCTTATCAGAAGTATGGACTGGAACTTAATGCCACATGTGCCTCGGCCCTCTTCAAATTGAAGCTACCGGTGTTGACACTATCCTATCAAACTCTTCTCATTGAAGCCGCTGGCGTATTAATACCGTCCTGTTGCACCTGACTCCCACGGAATCCCTGTAATTAGTAGTGCTAATAGATCATCAGAGGACTGGTGAACAGATTAGAATGATTTAGATAGCAATATATAGTACGCAATCACAAGCGCCAACAACATTCTGCTATCGATCATCACATGGTCATGTTTGGCCTTACATAGGAATGGAGAGTTACTGATTTTCTTACAGAGTTTTGTGATCGGGGAAAGACACGCACATTGCTCCACCTCAGACTTAGCACCAAGGTGGAACAACAGCTAATAATCAATCTAGAGGCATCAACAGTCACCATATCGAAGTAAGGTTCACGATTTCGAAGCCAAGAGGAACAGACACAATCTTCCAGCAAACGATGACTGTCCACCAAGTGAGCAAGACTACATTGATCTCCGGCAAAGCTAATAGGCGAGCCGGATGAATTATAACCGCAACGTCAAGAAGTCACGCTGGCAACTTCGAAGCTACTAGAGGGTCAAATGCAGCATCTTCCAAAGGTTGACAACGTGTTCAACGGGCGAGCGAGAATAAATGTATGTACCATTTTAACTTTTTTAACGCTCTATCTTTTAGATATCGACAGTGCACTGTTATCTTGCGCAGCACAATATCCAAGCTAAAATTAAAAGCCCCTATCTTTCAAGAGCACGAGGATGTGTTAGCCTCAGCGGGAGACATACATGTGTGTCCTCTGTTAAATCCTGACATATCTCCTTGACAAACCAAATTTCCGTCAATTTCATCACAAATTTCCATCTAGGAGTAAAAGCCCATGTCTTCTCAACTATGAGGATATATTCACCTGAATGTGTGACAGAAATTTCTTCGTGCTTCGATATTGAACACTATCTTTTTGATACTATAGCCCCTCATGTGCAGAGTTATCCTCTTCTCTCTGAACATCTTATTGTCAAATGAAAATTTCTTGACTAGTGGTCTATATACTTACACCAATTCCTGTAGCACTGATGCATCATATCTGCTAGTTAACAAAAATAGGTTATGCATCAACTATGCTACTGTGAATATGGTGATGCATGCCAGTAGTGATACAGCAGAATGTGCAAACTAGTAGACTAGGCTATAGCCTACATGTTGGAAACCTGCTGTGGTGGCGGCAGGAAACACTAAACGGTTCAGACAGGAAATAATATGACAAGACCATGGAATTTGGGATGTGATATGAGTATGTAATGATATGGTAAGAGTAAGACCCGAGTCTGTCCATAAATGATGATCTAAGCGGTGTTTTAAGCGATCTGAACAATCATGTGATCGATGAGATAAGCAGCATTGTAAGCAGCAGGCTTACACCCTCCCATCCTCTGAAGAATTTTGACCATTGTTGAATTCATCCAAAGCCTCTGTTCCTTCTACTTCCTGACCAGGCAGCCACATGTCCGCTTCCCAACTGTAGCCTTTCCAATGTACGAGGTATTGGAAGCCTCGTCCTTGCTTCTTCCTGTCAAGGATGTGATCTATCTCCCAGCTTTCGGCTCCTGAGTCCATTATGATTGTCCCAGGTCTGCATACTTCATGGGATGGGAATAGTTGATTGTTGTTTGCCATGTGTTTCTTCAACTGCGAGGCATGGAAGGTAGGGTGGATGTTTGTATGCCCAAGTAGGTCGAGAGTGTATGTTGATGATTGTTGATCTGCTGATATGATCTTGTAGGGTCTGTTGAATCTTGGCATGAACTTGGCAACCCATCAATTGTTGCTGAGGAGATACTCTCATCTTCAATGCGCTGTCAACAGATATATGAGGTCGTCTATTGCGAAGTTTGGCTCGTCTCCCCTTTTTGCGTTTGCTGATGAGGCTTGACCGATCTTGGCAGCTATCAGTGTGTCATGTGCATCTGCGATGTCTGTCTTCAGGTTCATTATGGCATCCAGCGTGTTTGTGATATCTATTGGGAAGTCTATGTGGGCATTTTGTACTCCCTTGGG